TCTCCTCCCTGGTTTATGCTGGATGTTCCTGTCTTGGAAGCACTATCTCCTCAGGTGGGTATGCAAAGGTGGGGGATGAAGATGAGCCACCATAAGCTTAGATTGCGAATATGAATTTGGAAGAGAAACACATTTTTGACCTAAACCCTAGTAGTCTGCATTCTGTTCTTAGCATCCCCTGCCCTGGGCAGAGAGGACACAACTGGGTTGGGGAGGGGAAGATGCAAGGGAACATCGTCTCCTAAGCCTCATCTAGAAATAGGAGCATCATTTAACACTTCCTGCACTCTCGAGCTCCTCTGAACTCTTCTCTGGTGGGTAGGGTGGTGCAGTGCAAAGCCCAGTCCTGAGACGGCAGGAGTAAGAGATCTAAACCTCTTAATATAAAGTGCTTTCAATGCTGTGTCAGTGCTGGTGGGATAGCCTCCCCCACCCCCCACCGCTGCCCATTCCCCCCTCTCCCCCCCCTTCAATTCTCCCACCCCTGCCCAGTCATTCTGTCTTGGTCCAGTTGCCCTTACATTCAATAGCCATGCGAAGTCCTGCATGAAGCGATGGGGATGGCCTTGTAGGAGGGCCTGGACAAAGGCCACACTCGAATGCCATAGAAGGTCTCGCCACCCAAGACAGAATCCACTGCATTTCTAAGTCGCTGAGGAGTTTTCCACTCCCTCCTACCTCTTAGCAATGGAATGAATCAATGATCCTTGCTTCACTACTTCATAATCATAGCAGAGATATCCTGGAAGACATCTAAGTCTATCAACTGTACAAGGCAACCTGGGCCCTCGATAGCAGTACTATATAGGACTGTGTCTATTGATCTCAAGCAGCTTGTCAGATTTGGCCTAGTAGGTCCAGAGGGATCAAGAAACAAATGTGCAAAGACAGTTCATTACATAAAAGGTTTGCATGACCTTTGTCTAACCACTGAACCACAGCCTAGCCACAAGGCACTATGCTTTAAACACCTCCTTATTTCCAAGTGAAGATTATGGCTCCTTGCCCTTACAACTGAAGCTTGCAGCGCCTTATGTGCAGCTGTTTATTAGGCTCCGAATCCTGCACTCAAGGTGTTTTCTATCAGTATGTGCAAAATTGCAAAGGCCAGCAGGGGGACATTCCTGCCATCATGCTGTCCGAGATCTCTTTTGAGGACTTTTAAAAACAAGTCTGCTTATTCTGGAAAGCTCTGAGATGATTCTGTATTGCATGCACATCGCACTGTTCGCGCCTTCCACAGACGTTTACTTTCTTAAGAATGTCTGAAAACAGGCATGCAATAGGTGACATTCTCTTAAAGTGCATATCATTTTCTTTGCTGAGAAAACTAGGTGTGCCATAGTTTGTTCTTTCCTTTTGGGGATGCAGATTACGTATGGACTGAACACAGCAATAGAATAGAGAATTAAGTTTTGTGCTAACGAGAGGTACTGACTCTACAACATTTAGATCAGTGAAACGTGCCAAGCATAGATATGAATAATAAGAAGGGAGGTGCTGAAAATTTAAACTGAGAGTGGTACCCTAGAGATTAAACAGAGTGGTATTTTGTGGCAGGAGGGCGGGGATGCTAAGTGTCATCCTCCCAGGTGATAGGCAAGTTTCATTGAACTTGGTACTTTCAACTTTTGTACACCACCCATGATCAGTCAGGTGCAGTAAGGACATCAGAAAAGTTGGGATGCAAGCATAAAATAAGCACAGCTGAGCATTGTAGAAATGGCACAAATCCAACCCCTTGGAACATGCACATGGACTAGCAATAGGCTCTGACCCCCAAGTACTGTTTGCTAGAGGTGATTGCAAGCTTCACCACACAATCCTAGCTCTACTAGTGTTTTCTACAGAATTACAAACCTCAGCTTCCCTTTCCAGGGGCAAACAGCCCTTCTACCATAGAAATGTTTGCATCTTATGTATTTTTTTCTGCAGTCTACAAAAAAAAACAACACTTATTTTCCTTATCCAATAGGCTCTAGTTCCAATAGCTCACTGCCCGCTGGGTAAAACACAGAATTCTTATTAAGCTCACAGCTACTTGCCAAGTACTGAGGTGTGGAACTCGAGTTCCTCCTAAATGTAATCTGAAATTATATCTACAGTGCAGAGCAGCGCAACAAGGTCTTGTATTCTAAAGGGTTTAAATGTCTCATCCTAGGCTCCTGTACCTTTTAACAGTCATGTAGAAGAGGCATGTGTACCTTGCATGACACACTACACCTGTTGAAAATCCCTACATCTACACAACTGTGGAAAGAAACCGAAACCCCATCTTCTTTTGCACGTGGCAACCCTATTTGATCTTCCTTCCCGCGGTGTGTGCAATTAAGCCAGCTTCAACACATGAGCCACTGTGACTCCAGATGTCATGAAGTGGGGCTTCGACTTATGCAGAGCTCTGCATATTGCACTGGGCTCCAAGTGGAATGCACAGCAAAACCCTCTTGCAGACTCTGGCATGTTTATCCATAGAAATTGAAAGCACAGAGAAATGCATTCTACAACAAGTCATCTATATTCCATTATCTACCATCGCAAAGGACAGGTTCAAATTACACCAGCACGCTGTCAGGTGAATAAAACTGAGGAAGGGTAATTGGGCACGAACTGCGCTTAAGTGGCAGTTTATGTGGAATGAAAATATAGACCAGTCCAGATTTCTCAATTTGTATGCCATGCATCAGTTTTCAGTACTCCATTCAAGAAAAGATTGATCAGCCAACACCAGAAGTGTATTGGAGGTCTTCTCAATCTACAACCTTTAGATACAAAGTGAGGCCAAGCTTGCTGGTACATTTGAAACTGTTTACACACACAAAAGGAGAAGCTTGCTTTTCTTAAAAGTTGCTTACATTTTCTCTCTGTTTTTAGCAACTGACTAGTTGCTGGTGTGTGCATGGAGTTATCAGAGCAGAGGATGATTTGATGGATAGAGGTGGCACAGGGCATTCATAGCACTCCCTTAGCGCCCCCTGGTGATCACTTCCATCTAAAGAACAAGCAGGGCTGCTTCATAGTGAAAAAATATCCTGGTTCTGATGCAACAGGAAACCATGACTTCCTGTTAATGAGAATGTATTGTGGCAAGCCTCATGCTCATACTCTCCTCCTCAGGGAACTGTGGTTTCTTCTGAGGCTAGATGAAACCAGAATCAAACTATGGTTCGGTTTCCTATTTTTAAAAAATCTAGCCAGTTAGAATCAACCAGGATCCCCAAGTTGGGACATAACAACAGCAACAACAGACATAGTGGGTTCAAAAGGAAACCTAGCAGCTGTCACACTCCTCTCGAGTACAGGGGAGAGGGAGCACAAGCCCTCTCACTGCCGTGCAATTGCATAATGGAAATCACAGAGTTCCCATTTTGTCTAAACCAGGTCACTGTGCAATACACGCCGAGGACGTCCTGCAGTGTTGCAGAAAGTGCTGAGCCCTTCCCCTTGTGCCACACACAATTAGCTTCTCAGTATCCTGTGCAACAGAGCCTTGGTATCCTGGCATTCACTCCTTGGCCTTGCTGTGCAACTATCATGAGATATCAGCCCCGACAATCCTGCTTAATAGCAAGATTCTTCCACTTCTTTGTATAGTTATTTTTGACCCTGGCTACGTGCTGTTGACCTAACTCCTTTGCTCCTAAGCAATGTTAAGATATAGCAGTTCCTTATTAAGGAGAGGATCCTGAAACCCATTTCACAGGGGGCTTCACTTAAAATGAGCAGAGTTTTCCTGACCCTTCTGGGAAGGGGTTTTGGGTGTGGAACTTTACTGTTTATTCATTTGAAAGCCAGATTGGGGTGGGGAGATAAAATGCAGCAATCTGATAAAATGATGTATCAGTAAAAAATATTTTATAGTCCCATGTATGAGAAGGCTACAGGCTCTAAGTGAAGTGCACAGGACATTACTGTTGAATTAAGTGCTGTGCGGCCTTTTCTTTTAAATTGAAGTGTACAGTTCTTAATTTTGTTGAGTTCAGCTTGAGGTTTACAACTGCATGCATCGTCAGCATATTAAGTTGATTTGTGAATGTGGACTCCAGCTGAATTGGAAACACAGGTTTGATGGTCAAGTAGACGCAAAGGTGGTGTAATATGAATGAGAATACATTTTTGAGGGCCCAGCTAGATATTATGGAGTGCTGTGGTGCAACCACCAACCCACCGTTCTGTGTGAGGTGCTGATAACATCTACTTCGAGAAAGGCATAGCATCATCTCGGTGTTTCCAAGCCCTTGACAAACAGTAACCAGTGAAATGGAATCAGGAGAGGAAGAACACTCTGACCTAGTTAGATGCTACTGGAAAGATTTGTGGAGAAGACACAAATTGGCCATCTTTAGTTTGGTGCCTTTGAGAGTGCTGGATGGAAGGTGATTTAGATATGCCTGATAATTGAGCACTTCTTTTATTCTTGCCGTGACACTTTGAGAGACACGCTGCAGGAAGCTTTCAGCAGTAATGCACCTGCATTAAGGTTGCTTCTAGCAGGAAGACTGGCTCCATTGCATGAGAGGACTACCCCATTCATTGCCGAAGTAGCAATCTTCTTGTTGCAAACCGTGGTTGAAAGAGGAATTTGCAGTCCCTGGATTAACATTGGCTCCTCTGCCAAGTAAAACATGGATATGGTCTCGGTGGTGGAGCCAACAGACTGCTTGATGAGGAAGCTTTTCCAAAGAAAATTGTCTGACATTGACTCAAGAATAATCTATCAGGTGTAGGATGGTAATAATGGAAGACTAATTTGTGGTGACCTGCTTGTCCCAAAGCTCTTCAGAGCTTCTAACTACTGCATCTCTTTATAAAGAGTCCACTAAAACACCTTTTGTGCCCATACAGAGATTATCTGCATGTAGGAATCAAAAGAAAGCTAACAATGTTAACAATGTTGTTAACAATGATATTTACGAGATGGGGTGATTCCTAAGCACTAAAATTGGATTAATTAACCTCATTTTACCACCACCTCACAATTATATACCCAATAGTTTAGAAAAATACTAGGAAATCTGTAAGTTCCTTTGGCAACTTGTTTTCCTGCCCATTGATTCACATGAGCAGAGTATTGGTTGTGCACCCATGTTAGTGTGAAAGCCTTTCCTCTAACTGTAGTTAATGGAAATGCAATAATGGCAAGCAGGGCTTTTTTTTTTTTCAGCTGGAACTCGGCTCCGGCACCTCTCAGGTGGGCGCCATTGCCATTCTAAGAGAACGAAGGAGGTGCTCATCATGAGTTATGGCACCTCTTTTTGTGGAAAATTAGCATCGATGGCAAGGCCTAAGCGTCTGATCTTTAACCTGTTCTAAAAATCCAAAATGCTGCGTCTTCCCCTACCTTATTATGCAATGCTTCCAGCTGCTGAGGTCAGCACTGGTGGGAGGGAAATGGGAAGCATAGCAAGAAGTATTGCCCTGAAAATACACTCCTATTGTCAGCATTTACAGCAACCACTGTTGCTTTGGCACGAAGGTAAGCCCAGCCTCCTGTGCTGACCTGCTTATTTAGCTGGGTGAGCAATGATCTGAATGGACACACAATGTGTGTTTTCTGGGTGGTTGATGCCCTGATTCAGAGCTACAAACCCATTGAAAAGATAGCAAAATCAACCTTGGGCTAAAGCTGTTTCTGCACCAGCACCACATTTCATTTCCCATACCTCTACTGACCTTCATGCTCGTCCCATATCCCTAAGTGTTTCCTCCTCTTTGGGTTTTTTAAAAAAAACAACACCAAGCCCACAATGATGCTGAAATTGCACAATTTAAACATTTTGAGATAAATTCACCTAAGTAACTGATGCCTGTGAAACGTCAGATGATGGCTTGCTGACTGGGAGACTGCAAAAACTGTCATGCTTCAATAATCAACTGAAGAAAATTCACTCTTGAATTTTCTACCCTTTGGCTGTCCAAACACCACCAGCAAATCTTGCTATTGCATTTCACTAGGTACCACCACCCTTTCCAGAAGCAGGAATGCCTTCCCAACAGGACTGAACTGAGAATGCCTGCCAGTAGGTCCCATGCCAGCCAAGCCTGCAAATCTTTAGGAATCGCAGCCCTGCTTTAGCAATGCCTGCAAGTCCTGCTCTTAACAGTATATACATACCCAAATAAAGTCTTCCAAACTTTGCAAACCTTGAATAAGAGGCAGTGTGTTCTAGCAGTTAAAACTCTACACTCTGGAAAGATCCACCTGAGTAGCTGCTGTACAGCCCTGTTTTTTCTATTCTATGTTAGCACCCCCTCTGCAGCATTTGGCAAGACCCTTTAATGGGCACCAGGCTGAGTTACTAAATGCAGCAATCTCTGGATCAACAACAAAGAACTGTTTCACTGCCTCCTAAGCCTCATCTAGATATACGCCCGACTGGTTTGACCAACAGTCTGAGGAAACTCTTTTTAGAGTAGATATGAAGACACCCCATTAGGTAGAGGTGAATCAAGGCCAGGTGGTAAGATCAAAGAAGACAAAAGAGCCCTTCTCAGATTATTTCACCATAATACAAGTTTTTCAGACCTTCCCACTACAGCCAGAACTGCAGCTTGACATTCTTCCTCACCTCTTTCACAAGCAGCCATATTACCTGCGATTTATCTAACCAGCAGCATACTACAAAAGAAGAGTGCCAAGAAGACATGACAGCTCTTGATTTGACATGGTGGCAGAGGGAGGTGTGGATTTCTAAAGCACCTAGTACCACTGCCTAATTTTAAACATGGTGCTTTTGCCCCGCCCCCCACCACAAGTCCTCTATCCTTATTCCCTACCCTGATGTTTAAAATCTTTTCTTGCATCTCCCCACCCCAATACACTGGGTCTGGAGAGATGATTGAACGACCCCTTAACTGAAACCAACAATGCCACTTTGCTGGCTGGCCAGAGTCCACCCTGCAATCAGTGGTTTGCTTGACGACTCCATACCTATCCAAAATATGCTTATGGCATGCTGAGCAGAGGCAGGAGGAGGAGTAAGTGGGAAACCGCCCAGCCTCCAAAACTTGTTCCTTGTGGCCTCGGCCAAGGCCAACGATGCAACCCACCCCAATCTATCAACCAAAGGCAAGAGCAGCGTTTGGGCAGTGAGGTGCTGAACGGGGCATGTGCCCTTGTCTCCTTTGTGAATATGAAAGGGGGCAGGAGGGAGGGGGCCATTAAGAACAAACATCCCTGTACTTCATACATCACCCAGCTCTCTCGGCAAATGTCAGCTACCCGCCATAGTAAGCAGAGGACAGTTGTTTGTACCTTGCTTTTTTGCCGGGGTTGGGGGGGGACCTAACGGAGCTGTGGTTGGTAATGGATGCAGCTCCACAGCATTTTGCTTGCACTGACCCATAAAGAGACAGCAACTCCCTTCTTCCTCCACTAGGGCTTGGTCCATTCAGAGCATCAGCCACTCCCCCTTTGGCTTGGCTTGTTTAGGGCTGCCTGCAGAGTCAGCTCCAGAAGCTGCCTGAAGTGGTTTCCTCTCTCCTGCTAGAGGAATTTGCACAGAGTTTGTTGCCAGGAGGCTCTTGCTCTGGGTGCGTGAGCTGGAGGGAGCGAGGGAATGGCCAAGTGCAAGCTTAGCTGACCAGCCCTCTTCCTTCGCGGCTGATGAAAACTTGAGAACTGATCCGCAAAGGCAGCAAACCAGCCCTTTTGTGTTTGTTTTTCTTCTTTGAAATCAACACGGGTTTCTGCTCAAAGGAAAAACACAGAGGAGAAAGCTGGGCTGGACTTTCAGAAAGCAAAAGCCGGCAAAATGCCTTCCAAGGAGGTACCCGCTGCTCCCTTCTGTTGGGCAGGGAGTCCAATTCTGAGAACTGTTAAAGAGGTGTCAACCTTCCTCCTCCCCAGCTCTCCTAATCTAACTGTCACGACTGTCCCAGCCAGCCCCATTAAGCCGGGGCGGCCTTCCCCACCGCAAGCAAGCCATGGCATGGGCACAGGCACGACGACACAACTGTTGGTAGCCCTTTGGCAAGAGGTCAGGGTCAGGGATGCTTGGGAAATGTGAGTGCCAATGAGAATCCAGACATTCAGAAAAACCTGCAAGTGAGACCTCTTTATATCTCTAAGGCTATGTTACCCTTCGCGTGAAGAACCCGTCAGCCTGGCCATAGCCAGCTGCCACCGGGTAATCGCTGGCTCTGGGTTAGCATGGGAGGGGCCCAGAAAACAAAGCCCCACCCCCCCACCCCCCACCCCAGAAAGGGTCACCTTCTAGCCAAAAGAAGAACAAAATAAATAAAGAGTCTGAATAATTATAATCATCATCATCATAATCCACAACCACAGCTAGAGGAGAAAATAAACGCCCGAGAGCTCGGAAAGAGCATCCTCCGCAAAAACAAACGGTAACACAGGTCACAGACTTCCAAGCGCGAACACGACCACTGGAGAAGGCCCATGCTTTGGCAGAGAATGCAAATACTGTAAAAGTTTTTTTTTCTGGGTTTTTTGTGTTTTTTATATATATATATATATATTTATATATATTTCACCTAACAAACTAACACCGTTCAACACTGGGGTCGACACAGGGAGGTGGAGCCTTTTTTTTGTTTCTGTTTTGTTTGTTTGAAGTTGAGACATTTTTTCATTGCAACACCTGGTCACCTGAACAGCCGGACGGACGGACACAAAGAAATGGAGTTGGTGGGGATTTGGGAGGCGCAGTGTGGCCACGCTGCGAGTCGGACAGCTGGGTTGGTTCGGCTGGGTTTGCTGATTTATTTATTTCATTGATTTAGAATCAAGTCTGGTTGGATTTTTTCTTTTTTCCTTTTTTATATATATGCTTTTTCCTTTTTTTTTAGATTAGGGTTTTTTTTGTTTTTTTTCTGCAAACACAGGCACTGGAAATGAAAGAGGAGAGGATGGGGAAGGGGAACGGGGGGGGGGGACACGAGCATGCGGGCACGTGCTTGTCACCGCTGCTCCCGGCTAGCGGCTCAGCTCAAATCACCGTCTCCTTCGAGATGAAACCAGAATATCCAGCATTAGCTCTGAAAGACACAAGCAGGTAGAGAGATGCTGTGAACGATTGCCAGAGACTGTTCCCCCTCTGCAGGCCATACCACTTCCGAGCCTGACTCTGGGCCTTCCTTTAGTACTCTGGCCTGGCTTAAACGTGTTGTCAATCCTGCTTCTTGCTTCGCTGAATGATCAATAAAAGGGAAAGGTTTGTGCGTGTGCAGATCTCTTGACGTTTGTGCATCTGGAATGTAGTTTGCTGTACAGAACCGTCTTCAAATATCTCAAGGGCTGTCGCATGAAAGACGAAACAAAGTTCTTTCTTTGCTGCTCCTCCATTGGGTAGGACCCGAACCAATGGATTCAAGTTACAAGAAAAGAGATTCCAACTAACTTTCTGATGGTAAGAGCTGTTTGACAGTGGAAGTGACTCCCTCGAAAGGTGGCGCACTCTCCTTCCCTGGAGGTTTCTAAGCAGAGGTTGGATAGCCACCTGTCAGGGATGCTTTAGCTGAGATTCCTGCATTCCAGCAGTTTGGACTAGATGACCCTAGGGGCTACCTTCGAACTCTATGATTCTAACCACCTCACCACCTAGTTTAGCCTCTGTCCCCACCCACCACTGAGAGTCACCTCCTGAAAAAGGCTGGAAATGGTCCCCCACCCCTCCTTGCCTTGGTCTTACCCAGGGCCGTCTTAAGTATATATGGCGCCAAGGAGCAAAGATCCTTCCGGCGTCCCCCTCCCCCCCCATTTCCCAGAGTCGCTGACCATTTTACAGCACTGCCGGCAGCTTTGCGGGGCTGGAGGAGGCGAGCAGCGGCTAGAGGGTGGTTCCTCCGGTGGGGAAGAGGCGGAGGCTCCAGGCATGGCGCTGCTTCAGCGAGGCGGGCAAGGGCAGCGAGCTGATCCCGGGAGGCGCCGCGCCCAGCCTCCGCCTCTTCCCTGGTGCCCTCCAGAACGTGGCGCCCTGGTGCCCCGCGCCACTTGCCTCTATGGGCAAGACGCCCCTGGTCTTACCTTCACTGGAGTGGTGCCACAGGTGCTCCCGAGCAGTGGAAGTGGACATTCTGCCACTTGCCATCGCGGCGGTGCCAGACGCGGGTCTCCTCCGACTGGCAAGTGCGAGGGCGGCCCTGCCCATCAATGTACTGCGTCAGGCGGATGTAGGCAATGCAGGCTGCATCTTCCCCAATGACGTGCACGTGAGGGTTCAGGATGGTTGTGTGAATGGGCTTGTTGTTCTTAGATAACACTGGAAGGGCAGGAACAGGAAACGAGAGTGAGTTTGTGGGGATGGGCTTGTCACAGAAGGGCCGGCGCTCATGCTTACGGTTACTTTCCTTCCCCTATGCTGGCGTGTGCTAACAGATGAAGTGAGTACAGTGGTACCTCGCAAGACGAATGCCTCGCAAGACAAAAAACTCGCTAGACGAAAGGGTTTTTTGAGCTGCTTCGCAAGACGATTTTCCCTATGGGCTTGCTTCGCAAGACGGAAACGTCTTGCAAGTTTGTTTCCTTTTTCTTAACCCCGTTAATACAGTTGCGACTTGACTTCGAGGAGCAACTCATAGCAGGCGGTGTGGTAGCCTTTTTTTGAGGTTTTTGAAGACTTTGGTGATTTTTGAAGCTTTTCCAAAACTTTCCCGACACTGTGCTTCGCAAGACGAAAAAAATCGCAAGACGACAAAACTCGCGGAATGAATTAATTTCGTCTTGCGAGGCACCACTGTAACCCTGACTTAAATAAGAACTCAACGCTGTCACTGAGTGATGGCTGCTACCCCTGCTCTGGAACCAGACAACAGTTTCAGAGACGGATGCAGGCAAGGAGCAAAGGATATGGCGGTGTGTCAGGATGGATGGAGAGGAAAGTATACGCCAGTTAATGCAAGAAAACAGGGTCATTCTCTCCCCCCCCCCCCCTTTTTCAAGGAAGACACAACCCCTGAGGGGGCAACTCTTTGAATTTGCTTGTTGATTACTAGATTACTTCACCAGAAAGTAAGGGTTTGCGTTCTGTTCAGCTGAGTAGGAAGGAATTAGGCTGGCACACCTGGGAAGATGCTATGAGAATTGGTGAATGAGTTGGTGGCAACACAACCACAGGTGCAACTGCACAGCCCTGACCTCGCCACTGCTGTACCCTGCCCCAGCCCTATCCAGGTAAGTAGCAGCAAAGCTTGTGTCAGGAGGGCAAGCTCCCTCACAATTGCTGCTACTGCATCTAGCTGAGTATTGCCTGTGCAGACCAACAACAGCTTCCCAGGGTCTTAGGCGGAATAGGGGTTTCCTCATCACCTGATCTCTTTAGCTGGAGATGGCAGGGAATGAACCAGAGTACTTCCCCAACCCAAACATTTGAGATCAAGTGGAGACACCTTCCTAACACTATTGCAACGTTTGTTGAGCTTCCCCCGACCCCAGCCCCCAGAACAGGCTGCTATCCGCAAGCCTTCGGAGCCCGGCAGGAACTCCCCCACACTCAGAAGGCTTGCGGATAGTTGCCCGAAGCCCAGAGAGCCCAGCTCTGCGCTCTCCAGGCTTCGGGATGCAGGCTGCTATACGCAAGCCTTGGGAGCCCGGCGGGAGTTCCCGCCGGGCTCCCAAGGCTTGCGGATATCTACCCGAAGCCCGGGGTGTGCTGCGAAGTGCTCCCCAGGCTTCGGGGACCAGGCTGCTATCTGCAAGCCTTGGGAGCGTGGCGGGCACTCCCACCGCGCTCCGAAGGCTTGCGGATAGCTTCTTGAAGCCTGGAGAGCGAGAGGGGTCGGTGCGCACTGACCCCTCTCACTCTCCAGGCTTCAGCGAAAGCCTGCATTTGCTCCGTAGGATGCACACACATTTCCCCTTCATTTTTGGAGGGGGAAAAGTGCGTCCAATAGAGCGAAAAATACGGTAAGCTGGTTGAAGGGAAAAGTAAAGAAGTAGGAACCTTTCAAGGACAAAGGAGCTGCCAAATGTCATTCCTTATGCAGTTATGTTCCTGAGTTGGGAAGAGAAGTGGCGGAAAACTCCTGTCAGTGGACAGGAAGACTTTCTCCCTCCCATATCTTACATGCAACAAGATATACTTACAGTTTTCAAAATAAAATCTGTGGAAGTCCATCCCTTCAACAAGGTTGCCCAAGGCTTCAGGTTCGAATGAAGTTAGGCCTGGATCACATATTTTTCTAGACAGGCAGGAAACACAGAGAGATGCCTTACTAGCAGTGCCACATGGAGGCATAAGACTGCCAGTGAAGGATAGGGTTATCAGCCATTAAGTCATCTGTATGACTTAAAATCGATTTCAAAAAATTCCGCTGGAAATAATTGTTATGTCCCTGTGGAGATGGCAGCATTGAGTCAGTGGCTCATGTGCTTCTGGCTTGCGCTCTCTATAAAGATTTGAGGAGCGAGGTTCTTACCCCTCTACTATTGTCCATGCCGGGTCACTCAGCCATTGCTACTGTGTCCTTACTTCTAGCAGATCAAGCAGATCAGGTGATAGCAAATACTGCAAGGTTTTTAGTAGGGGCCGTTAGAATAAGATCTACTATTTGATTATTGGTGTAAACCCCCAAAATGTATTTTCCAGTGTTAAGTTTTTACCGCTATCTTCAGTACATTTTATTTTATTGCTATGGCTAGTGGCTGATGCAAATAAACATCCTTCTGATTCTGATAAGGTTATCAGTGGCTAAGAGCCAATATGGCTATGCTCTACCTTTATGTTCAGGGCTGGTCTAAAGGTCTAGATACCCAGAAATCTCTTTCATTTTCCATCAAAGCTCAGGAAGCCTGAGCTATTGTGTTCCACAGAATGCATCTACCAAGAGAGGAAAAGATCTATCTAACTGAGAAAGGAGTTGGATAAATAAACATCAAAAATAAACAAGTAAATATGATCCAATAAACTGCTGGGCTACATCATCTCAAGAAACTGAATATGGATGTCAAAATGTGCTTCTCTGACAGTAAAAGAGGTACTGCTGAGTTGCTCTTTGCTCATATGATTGTAGCTGAAGAACTTTGGAAGCGGTGGCTAATTTGTGCCGTTAGATTGGGTCCACTCAAACCTGAACCAATTTTATCAATGTGCAGAAAGGGACCAATCCAAGTGACTTGTGATACTCAAACTCCAATTAGGAAAAGTCAGAAGCCCAACAAGGAATAACCAAGAGAGTTTTACGAACATTAACTCCTATGTAGATGAGACTGTTTGGCTATACCAAGTGGCTCAGCGAGGCAGGTATAAAGGCAATTGTAAGGGAGGTAAAAAAAGAAGAAGTCAGTAATCAAAGTGAAATTTGTTGGAGAGTGTCCTCATTAAAACTCTGTGGGGGGTTCAAGGATATGGGCTAAAGTTACACGAGGCCACCACCTTGCTGAAGCTAAGCAAATCCGGGTCTGGTCGGTGCCTAGATGGGGGAGACTGCCTTGGGACCACATGTAGCACAGCTCCTTTGGGTTCCATGGTGGAAGAAAGACAAGATATAAATGTAGAATGTAAAATAAATGAGACTATTTATTGGGAGCATCACTGGTTGACACAGTGAGCTAATGGCTAATCATATTTCTGAATGACAAGAGTGAGAGGAACATATCCCCCAGGACAAGCCCAACTGCCATGTTTCAGAGCAAGCGCAATGTTCTCAACTGCGTTTCCTATGGCTATTGGGTAATGAATGGGAGAACCTCGCCTTAAAATCTACAGCTACTTTTATTTTGCACGAAGAAGACAGACCTGCTCAAAAACTAGACGGCAAACTTATTTTTTAAGATTCCTGGTGGGGACATGAAAGATATGGCACTTCCTCCTGTGGCAACATTTGGAAGCCCACAGGTAGCTCTGGGATAGCACAGGTGGTGGAGATTTAATCTCAGGGTTGTGAGTTCAAGCATCACATTCCTGCAATGCAGGAGGTTGGACTAGATGATCCCAGAGGCCCCTTCCAACTCTATGATTCTAGGTCCCGTCCCCCCCCCAGGATTTAAAATAACAAGTGGCATAGTGACCAGATTAAATCTGCAGATGAAGGGCACTGTATACATTAATGAATCCAAAGACATGTAAAACTGGCTTTTGAGCCCAGTATTTTAGTGAGACCAAACATCCCGTCTACTTACGCATATGCCTCAAAGTCCCCATTGTTCACAGCCTCAATCAGCTGCTCTGTAATCTTTATGATTTCCTGCTTGCGGGCTACAAGTGGAGGAAAGATCCGAAGGGGGAGAGAGAGGAGAGAAGGAAGGAAGAGGAGACATACACAACGTCAGTGAGAGCAGATTCCCTGTAGGTCTCCAGGCCCTAGCAGAAAACTAACAGCCTTAAGTGTCCTTTCATGCCTCGCTCCTTTGTTCTGGGAGTTTATATGAACCACTTCTCCACAGTGAGATCTTGTAAGGAGGCTTACATGACATATGCAAAGTACCATACCTTGAAAGAACAGGATGCAAATGGCCAAGCACATATGGTAAGAATCAGTGACACAGTGCAGATCTAGGCTCACTCTTAGGAAACCAGAAAATACTGATAGCTTTCAGCAGGGCAATATTATATTCCTTATTCACCACAAACACGCTACAGCAAAAGTATTACTTTCCTCCCGTTCTGAAACTGCCCACGATTCTCCCACAATGATGCAGACTAAAACCGCCAAGTACCTCTGTAACCAGAACGTATAGGAGGAGATCTGGAGAGATGCAGGAATTTGCAAGGCACCCAAGCGACCCAGTTAGAGCAAGCGCTATGAATAATGCAGAACCCAAGTGGCGGAGATGGTGTCAGTGGCCTCGCCAAGGTCATCTCTTGGGAGCAGAAGCATTTGGAAACTTGTGCCCTCATGGGGCCTGGAGAATCCACTCCACTCACGCTTGCTGTGCCTTGACGTAACCCCCAATCCTCTCCCACTTGGATCCTAGACTCCCATTGACAGAACTGAGTGGGAAGTTGGGAAGTGGGCACCCATAAGGGTGGAGGTGGGAAGCCCTTCTAAATTCTAGCCTCTAGAAAGTTTGAATAGGTGCAGAACCCATATGTATGACTGGGCAAGGAGAGCTGCATAGGAAGACTAGCAGACCTGGGGAATCTCAAACAAAGACCCTACCCACATTTTGTGGACAAGTTGGTCCCATTTGACAAAAGTGCCACTTGTGGATCTGAGTGACAGGGATTCAATGTCCACCTTAGCCCAAGGGCTTAGAAAATATGGCTTGCCAAGCATGTTAATGGTCTACGGAAAGAGACGCTTGACTCCCTTTTCTAAAGCACATAAATGCTTTAGAACTGAATGCTTCAATCAAACTTCCATCTTCACACAACTCTTCCCTAGATCTCCTGTGTTTCCCCAGCTTGCAGCAAAACTGATCCAAGAAAGCTCATGGACCTGGGCTCTGTGTAATTGGTCCCATAAATGCCTCTCTTTCAAGGTATAATTATACTGCTGACATCCTTTTCTCTTGTTCATTTTAAATTTCATCTACTGACATAATCTTGCCTTTGATCTGGTACCTCTCCCCCACAGGCCTAGTACAAATGCAAACTTGCCACTTTTACTCAAGGTGGCTCAGGACGATTCCCCTGCCTGAACTAATGTTAATCTTTAGCTCATGTTTCTCAAACGTGTGCATGACAGAAGATGATATGCATGCAAATGAGCAAATGGGAAGGTATCGGTTAGTTGTTCTTGAACATCTGAGTTTACCTTGGCTGATTCTTTGCTTTGTGAGCACTTCTGATTCTTAGGCATGCAGGGGCTACTTGTACGTCCATGTTTATACTGCGTATGTGTTGAGGGGATTCTTTCAGGGAACATAAAACAAGCTTCTAAGTGGTTTGGCTTTAAAGAAAATCTGTTATGTTTGGGTCATATCCAATGGTAGATCTGCCATAGTGGAAAGTACTTATACCTGGGCACCTGGTTTTTGCTTATCACTGCCCCACTCACATGTGCATGAGCAAACACACACACACACACACACACACACACACACACACACACACCTATTGCAGCCCTCTTCACCACACCCCATTCTTTTCTGAATAGTAAATCAACTCTCACAAGCAGCTGATACGTGCTTATAAGAGGTATCAGCAAAAACCTGGTGTCCCAACTTGCAGGAGTACTTTCTGCAAAGGCAAAGACATCACTGAATATAACACTATAATGAGTAATGAGAGCAGGCCCTTTCCCACAACTTACTATATAGGTTTCCATAGGACAAATAAAGTTGCTTTTTAAGGGGGGGGGGGTTTAAACCTGGGGAAAGCTGCAAAGGGGAAAGCTTAACCCTTCCCCAGCATTGGAGTCCCATTCTGAATCGCTCCCCTCAGCTGCACTTACCTTTTTAAAAGAAAAGAAAAAGTAGTGAATCATGTAGCAGACGTCCCATAATATATTCTAGGCACAACCCCAGTGGAGTAATTATACAGACTTTTGGGTTAATCTATTAATTGCAACTGCAAAATCGCCCCCACTATGTTCAAAGCATAATAGACTGCCCCTCTCACTAATGAACTTCCTTAAAATGTGGCAACATTTTAGACATTAAAAAAAAAGATTGCCCAGGATTTTAACTGATTTTATATCTACCGCTTTTTGTATTTTTACTGTTGCTTTTGCTTCTCATGCTTTTGATCTGTTTTATATTTGTTTTATGGTTCTCTTTTGCAGGCTATCTTGAAAATCTAGATTAATAAAATTATGTTTTTTAAAAAACCTAATGAACTTCCTTCTGTTTGTTTGCATCCCTCTGCATCCCATAAAAATGTGAATGTATGAAACAGTGCTTTTCCCCTCCATAATAAAACCACATCCTATGCACCCATAGGTTCTGCACCCATAATCACCAATGTATGGATTAGAATGATCCATCCCCACAGAAAAATGAATTGAGGTTGCAATTCCGTGGACATTTATCTGGGAGGAAGCTATATTCAACACAGAGGGACTTACTTCCAGGTAAACATGCACAGGATGGCTCTGGGAAAGAGGGAGGAGAACTCTTTAAAGCAGTTTAAAGCAAAATGGATAATTCATTCACATGAAGTGATCCTAAATATTTTGTTGAAACTATTTTGCTGAATGAAGTGGAACAGAAATGCTGCTCCCCCACCTCTCATCAAGTTGGATGGTCCTCAAGGCCAGCCAAGTTATTTTGGCACCTGAGGCAGAACATCTCACAAGCGCCACTGCCTGGCAGTAAAAATGCCCTTTCATGACACCCAAAATCAGCTGCCTAAGACTAGCCCAGGTTGAGAATATGCACTAAGCCTTAAAGAAACCAGCAAGCAACGAAAGACGGTACTATCCTGATCCTATCCAGCGACACATTTCTCCTTGAAAATGAACCTAGTCTCCCGGGGGGGGGGGTGCCTTTAACTTTCCAGCAAATCCAGTTCTTACCTGTGAGCTTGCCAGTCATGCCTGCTTCTGCTTTGCAATGAGTGTTCTCCCTGTGCCCTGTCCTAGCACTAGTTGTGTGGCATCTCAGCTCATGTTTGCTGGTGTCTCCCTCCAGCTGCAAATGTGCCAAGCTGTTATTCATCCCTGTAAACCAACACCGCTGCCCGGGACTCCCAGGTTTTCAGCAGGGGAAAGAAAGTTCAGGCCGGAGGGAGATGGCCTGAGACCTTGTGACTCACAATCCCATGGAGAAAAGAAACCACTTTTTCTGCATCCCCCCTGCAGTTGCTACTAGGTGCAGCAAAAAAGCTGTGCAGTTTCAGCGCTCGGTGCAACAGCAGCAAGAACAAAACAACCTCTGTAGGTGTACTACTTTGGATCAGACCTGATCAGCCAGAACCTATTTTTGGTAATGCAGTTTGTACACTTTTTATGAATTTTATTTAGTTTTATTGCTGATTTATGTTGTTCGCTGCTGTTATAGGCGGCTGGGCCAGTCGCGCGAACAGAACATTTCATGGGGCTGCCTCAGGCGCCTTAGCCCGGGTGGGCGGGGGCTGGAGGAGGCAGCGGCTTTGCTCGCCCAGCCTCAACAGGAAGAGGCAGAAGTTGCACGTGGTGTTGCTAATTGTCTGCATGGCCGGCAACTGCCTTCTTCCTCCCCGCGAACTTTCCGACATCTTAGTATGCCGCTGTATCATGTAGTTTATGTCGTATTATACCGTAATATTAGCTGGCAGTATATTACGATGTTGGAAAGCAGATATCACCCAGCCCGAAATGAGACTTCTGAGAAAACATGCATTATGGGAGCCATTCATGTGTTCCGTTATAACCAATGAATTCCACCCTTGAAAACGTAATTCATTTGCCACAATCCAGCCCAGGTGGAGAAGGGGGGAACGTGTGAGCCTGAGGCTTGCTGCAGCTCATCTTCATAATGTTAAGCCATGCTTTAGCACTACGTGCTAACACAGCCAGAGATCACGCCTAAGATCAGAATATCAGACCACACAATTCCCAAAGTATGGCTTTCATTTGGCTTTTCCCAATCGGCACATGGCTTTACTAGTGGTCTTAAACTAAGACCTCACACTACCCGGTTTGATTCCCATATTTACCAGGACTGTGACTGAACCCGTGACTATCCCCTTGAGGCAGAAGACAGACTGGCTTTAGGGAGGAAGTAGGACGTGCACCATAGTGCACCCTCCGGCCTGAACCTTTCTTCAAACAACATGCCTCCAACTGGATAGAAAGGAGAACAACTGCAGTGTTTGGACCTCTGGGAGAAAAGATGGAGGGAAAATGCCCAGTCCCATGCCCATTATTTGTTTAAACACACAGCAAGAGCATCGTAAATCAGTATCTGCAATGTCCCAGGCTTTAAACACAATGCTTCTCCCACAATGCAACCTTGATTTTCAGCTTGTGCCATGCATTTAATGCACTTTCTCTGTTAGCCTGCATTCACACAAGCATAGCTATTTGCTCACTGAAGTGAAGTGTTTTCATGTGAAGCCATGCAGCAATACCCATTAGGCTATTTATTTCACACCTACAGTGTAATAAAGAGGACAGAATCTTCCCTGGGGTCTGAACAGAACAAAGGGGCTCAGAGCTGCAGGCCACGAAACCATGCTACTTACGATCTGAAGGCAGAGGATTTGGGATGAGTGGAATTGGGAAAAGCTGGGTGACAGCTGGCTGTGGCCCCTCAGCTTCTGGGGCTCCAGAGCCCCGTTTCACCATGCTTAGAATATCAGACAACTTGGTAGCTGGTGTGAGACAGATGAAAGAAGGCACGGAGAGAATAATAATAAAACACAAATGAATGGGAGAGTGGAGAGGGACTAGAAAAACAAGGGAAAGAAAGGGATCAGATAAAGGAGGGCAGCTAAGAAAGAATTCAAAGTGAACAGTGTCTCCTATTCTATTCTATTCTAGTCTAACCAACGAAGAAGGCAATAGCACTTTCTAAAGAGTAGCTCAATGCTCACATTACAGGAAACCATTATTTTGTGGTTTACTGTGAACACAGCTATCTGTTTTGCTCCTCTCCATGCAACCATAATCCCTGGCTTAGAATTATGTCTGAATTAGGGATCATTATTTGTTTTGCTGAAACCAACCATGATTGGTAAGGTGAGAACCTTATTGTGTATCACACTTTATTTGCATAGAACAAACCGAATCTGCAAGTTCTTTGTACAGAGCTTGCTGCAAGATTTTTGTAAGGTGGTCTGAGCTTGTGCATAGCCTCCACATGGTTAAGGAGAGCCAAGAGCATTCAGTAAAAGCAGGTAAAGTCAGTTCTTCCAAGTTTATGGATCTGCTAAGCCTGGAGAAGAAAAGGCTGAGAGGACATGATAGCATTCTTCAAATACTTGGAAGGGCTGTCGCACAGAAAAGGGCAAATACTTATTCTCTGCTGCCCCAGAAGGCAAGACTAGACCTAAGGGGTTTAAGTTGAAGAACAGATTTCAACTGGACATTAGGAGAAACTTCTCAACAGGTGAGAGCAGTTCAACAATGGAATAAATTAACTAGAGGGATAGTGAATTCTCCTGTGATAGGCATCTTCAAACAGACCAGCATCCGTTGAGGATGCTCTAGCTTTTGGTTGCCTTTAATGAGCAGCAGGCTGCTCTAGATCAGGAATGGAGAACACGTGGTACTCCAAATGTTGGATTTGAGTTCCCATCAGCCCCAGTCAGCATAGCAAATGGTCAGGGGTTATGGAACTTGTAGTCCAGTAGTATTTGGGGAGGGGGTGCATAGGCTCCCCTTTCCTGCTCCAGATGACCAACTAATCCTCATTCAACTCTATGGTTCTATGAATAAAAAAAGCTATGGAAAAGCCCCCAAGACGTATTGTGCCACATGAGCTGTAGAGCTTGCACATTAGAGTCAAAGGGAGGCAAAGCAGTGCCAGCTGCCACACTAGGCATGGCCTGCACCAGTCCAGGGACAAGAAATCCCAGTGACACCACACTACTTACACTGGGGAGGAAGAGGGTTGGCAGCACCTGAAGGTGGGCATGGAAGGGTGATGGAGGACTTTGGCTCTTCGCCTTCAGGAAACCCAGAGCCCTTTTTCACCATGCCTAATACATCACAGAGTTTTGCAGCTGGGGTGGAAGAGATGAGAGGAGGGAGAGGTGAGAAAAAACACACAAAAGGCAACAAGCAGAAAGAAATGAAAGCAAGGAGGAAAGGACTAGGAAACAGGCAAAGAGAATTGGGTCAAGGAGGAGAACTTGACAGGATTGGAGTCCCATCATTCCATAACCTAGTAGCAATGCAAGCAATATTCTTCCTAGAATTATTTTCAGTGCAAATAGTCCCTCAACTTTAAAAACTGAGTAGATAGGAGAGAAATAACTCAGGATTAGTCCCAACAACTTGCCCATTACAAGGTAAAACTAGTCCTGAATTTGACTGCTCCAGACTACAAATGAGATGGAGGGAAAGAGGGGACTTGCCTAAAGGTTAAGCATACAAACAGGCTGGAGTGGTAGAGTTTTTGAGATCAGACCTTATAATAATTTATAATAAGACTGTTTTCCCCCTTTGAGGTAGAACTCAGCAGCCACCACTTGCACCCTCCTTGGGTGTTTTTAATGTGGCTGGAATGTGTCCCTGAACTCTGATAATGCTTCTTGCTTGCTTGAATGGAGGATAGAGAGGGTTGTGCATGTAGAAACGAATGGAGAAGGGCAAAATTCGCACTCGTTGCTCTGCCCACTTTTGCCTCTGGCCCCACTCACCATTGGCATGTGGTTCCTGGAAGGGAATGAAGGAGCTTGGACTGATCTAATACATTTAAGGCTATTTCCACTTGAGGTATGGAGTGGGTACATCACTCTGGGGCTCTCTGCTGCCTGCGCATATGAGCATAATTTATTCAGGGCAACAATCCAAACTCAACTAGCTCTGAAGCAACCATTCTTAGGGTGGATCTACACACAGGAAAAAACGCTCCAAATAAGTAGGAAATTAAATCGTTATAACAAAATAAAAATACTCTATGGAAAAACACCTGGAAAAATTTCCTGCTCTCTGCTGCCATCTGTTGTTGTATGCTTATAGTGCATTCAAATCGTTGTTTCTTTACTAATGTAGCTGAGTCCTTATTCACTGATGGTGCAGCTAAGCCCTGTACTGTACCACCCAGCGAAACTGCCCCTGTTCAAAGTGCAAGGCCTTTCTTTTCAAGGAAAAACAAAAAGAGGGGGAAACCCATAAGGATTCTACAAGGTGCTTGCGATACTCCAGCTACATGCAGGCAATGCCTGCTACTTACACTGGAAAGGAAGAGGATTTGCAGCCCCTGGAGATGGGCTAGGCAGAGGGATGGAAGGCTTTGACTCTTCAGCCCCTGGAGGCCCAGACCCCTTTTTCACCATGCCTAATACATCAGACAGTTTGGCAGCTAGGGTGGGAGGAGGCAGAGAAATATGAGAAAACTAAACAGAAAAGTAATGGGGTGGGGAATGAATACACAATAAAGAACAAGGAGGAGGGAGTTTAGAGAAAGGAATCTGCTTGGGGGAGGGACTTTTCACGTAGTGAGGATGTGGCTTAGCTTGCATCAGTGTCTACATTTGTTCAGAGGTTCATAAAGTTCCTGAGACACTAAAGATCCCTTGGTTATTCAGGGGCTGTTGGTTCATTTTTCTCTGCCATCATGGGGGGAAATGTTGCCTTGGCCAGAACGATGGGACAAGCAGAGTACAGAATTATTTGGGATTACCCAGATTATCCCAAGAATGACTTGTGTTAGAAAGCAAAAATGTAAGAGCAAAATAATGTTGCGATTCCTAGTTATGTAAATACAGTGGTACCTTGGGTTACATACGCTTCAGGTTACATACGCTTCAGGTTACAGACTCCGCTAACCCAGAAATAGTGCTTCAGGTTAAGAACTTTGCTTCAGGTTGAGAACAGAAATCGGGCTCCGGCAGCACGGCAGCAGCAGGAGGCCCCATTAGCTAAAGTGGTGCTTCAGGTTAAGAACAGTTTCAGGTTAAGTACGGACCGCCAGAACGAATTAAGTACTTAACCCGAAGTACCACTGTATGGAGTTGCTTATTCAGGGTATCCAGCCTGATACAACCATGTCTTAACACTACAGTCCTCTTTTCTGATTGCATACACCAGGGGTCGACAACCTAAGGCCCATGGACCGGTAGCAACCCACGAGGCTTGTCTAACCGGCCCATGGCGACCCCCGCCGCCCTTACCGGTGCAGCGCGGGGACCGACTTCCAGGTTGATGGCGCCTGTGCACGGGCGCTCCTCCAACCCAGATGTGTGCAGGAAATAGCATGTGCGCACGCATGTGGGACGGAGAAGTACCTGTGTGCATGCGCACACGCTATTTCCGGCGCACTTCTGGGTCGGAGGAGCACCGGATATAGCATGTGTGCATGCACACTCCTCTGACCCAAAAGAGAGCGCATGCGCACACGCTCCGGCCCATCCTCTCACAGACAGAACGTCGACCGGCCCATCCTTTGATAAGGTTGCTGATCTCTGGTGCCTTTCAGATGGTTTGGACTACTACAACTAATCCAGAACGCGGCAGCTAGACTGGTGACTGGGAGCGGCCGCTGAGACCACATAACACCGGTCTTGAAAGACCTACGTTGGCTCCCAGTACGTTTCCAAGCACAATTCAGAGTGTTGGTGCTGACCTTTAAAGCCCTAAACGGCCTCGGTCCAGTTTATCTGAAGGAGCGTCTCCACCCCCATCGTTCAGCCTGGACACTGAGGTCCAGCTCTGAGGGCCTTCTGGCGGTTCCCTCCCTGCGAGAAGTGAGGTTACAGGGAACCAGGCAGAGGGCCTTCTCGGTAGTGGCGCCCTCCCTGTGGAACGCCCTCCCACCAGATGTCAAAGAGAAGAACAACTACCAGACCTTTAGAAGACATCTGAAGGCCACCCTGTTTAGGGAAGCTTTTAATGTTTGATGTATTACAGTATTTTAATATTTTTTGGGAAGCCGCCCAGAGTGGCTGGGGAAGCCCAGCCAGATGGGCAGGGTATAAATAATAAATTATTATTACTAATACTACTACAACTCCCATCAACCCCTTAGGCAGCACAAAACTCAGGACAAGGAAGGGACCCTGCAACACTGAGTAGGGCAGCTGCCTTACTTTATGGCTAGACAGACTCCTCAGCAGCAGTTCTGTTTGGCAGTCCCTGGTGCTGCATGCTACTTACACTGGAGAGGAACAGGATTTGCAACAACAGTAGGAGGGAAGGGCAAAGTGATGGAAGGCTTTGCTTCTTCTGCTTCTGGTGGCCCAGAGCCCCGTTTCACCATGCCTAATACATCAGAAAGCTTTGCAGCTGAGAGAGGAACAGATGGGAGCAGAGAGGGTGAGACAGGGAAAGAAACCCAATTTTAAAATGAAAAGAAAAGTACCAGAAAGCCATGCTAGAGAATGGAAACAAAGTAAGACAGCATGCAAGGAAGGCTTTGGGGTTCCTTCTAGTATTCACAAATTTGGAGCTTCATTTGCCCAATGGTCTCCTCAAATATTTTGTGTGGGAGCAAAGAGCCATGTTAGTTTTTCAAAAAAAGAGATCCCTAATATGTTTTACTCCCAGCTCACACAAGCCTTCTCTATGGCCATTCCAACCCTGCTGTGTGAAGATCCAGCGTTAGCAGGAAAGAATAAAACACAGCAGACCATGAACCATACATTGTCATGTTTCTTCTCTGTTCCCTCGACACTGAGGCAAGTCCTTTTCAGTGGTGGCCCCTGCATCAATGGGACATCCCAGAGGGAGATATGTAGCCTTATCATTGCCAGGCCATGGTCTGATGGCACCTGAAGCCCACCACCTTGCTAAAGTGCCTGGATGGGGAAACTCTTGAGGACCCCAGGCATACACTTTGAGTTCCAGGATGAAAAAAAGGACAGGATATAAATGGATATATATATAGATTAGATTAGATAGATAGATAGATAGATAGATAGATAGATAGATAGATATAGATGATAGATAGATAGATGATATGATAGATAGATAGATAGATAGATAGATAGATAGATATAGATATTTTAAAAAAAGAAATTTGAAAGTATTTTCATTCCAAGTTGTGTTTAACTAATGAAAGGCTCTACGGCAGGGCTGCCATCCGTCCTGATTTTCCAGGACACGTCCTCGAATTCACCTCAAAAAATGGTGTCCTGGATTATTTTTTCGGAAATCAAGCAAATGTCCTGGAAAACCGGCAATGGGGTTAAATTGTGCCAAAGATATCTTTAAAAGCTCCAAAACTCTTGTAGCTTTTACTATAAAAAGCTCAGCAACTTTGAGGGTTGTCTGAAAAAGCTCAACAACCATTCGTGTGTCCTGATTTTTACTTTTGAAATATGGCAATCCTATTCTATGGAGACCATGAAGGCCCTCTGGGATTTTGTGCCAAATTAACCCCCCAGTGCTGCAAACCCAGAGCGTCTTGCTACTTACACTGGGGAGGTAGAGGGTTTGCAACAGCTGGAAGATATGCAGGGTGGAGAGACCAAAGTCTTTGACTCTTCAGCTTCTGGGGCCCCTGATCCCTTTTTCACCATGCCTAATACATCAGTCAGCTTGGGTACTGAGACAGGACAGAAAAGGCAGGGAGGTAGAGAAGGAAGAGAAACCAAGTATAATGGAACAAGAACAGAAGAATGAACAAACCCGGGAACATGGGTTAGGAAATGGAAACATTAGGTGGAAAAGGTGTCCATCAGGTACTATCTAGCGCCCCCTCCCCAACAAACACACAAATTGTGTTATTATATTTACATTTATTTATAGCTACTAGTGTCATACACTTACTAAATGTTGATCCACACTGTCAGAACAGACAGACCTATGACTTGTTCAGATCTTGTGCGAAAGCACTGGTTCCCACTATGTGATAATGTCTGCAAGTGCCTCCGGCTCATGCATACCCCAACCTCTTCTGCGTGCTAGAGGAGAATATCAAACCTTTCTACTTTCAATTTTAAACTAACCTTAGTCCCCCATGGCATCTGAATTCAGATGAAACTATGGTTTATTTACACTATGAACCACAGTTTCAGATGCTGGCTTGTTCTCAAATAACAGGTTGTTGTTTTTTTAAAAAAACACCATAGTTTCCTGAGCTGCAGCATCACTGGTAGCTACAATTAGTTTTAAATCCAGAACTGATGCTTTCAATCTCCTCCCTCTGGTGCGTGAAAGACAAGCAGAGGGGAAGTAAGTGTGTGTGTGTGTGTGTGTGTGTGTGTGTGTGTGTGTGTAAGCCTGAGGCTCATGCTTAAACAGCTAAATTACATCTGAACTGGACCTATGACTAAAGGTCTTGGGGCATTTACTGACGGGTCAACCACAGTTGAGTGGAAAGTTGGGGAAAGGAGCACAGGGACTTTGTGACTTACAAGCAGCAGCAACAGCAGCAGCAGCAGCAGATGGTATCGGAGAAGTCTGCAGACTGGGAGGAAGTTCAGGGACAGATCCTGGATTCAACTGGCTTTTTACAAGCTCATTATCAGCAGCCTTAACTGATGTGAATGGGTAAGAGAGGAAAAAAGAGAGGGAGGGGGAAAGGAAAAACAAACACCATAAAGCGAGAAATAAAAATTCCGAAGAAAAATGGCGGCTCTGATGGGAGAAAAGAAAGAATGGGAAAGCAAAATATACATTGGCAGAGAAAGAGAAGAGGATGGCAAAATGGAATCTAAAAGAGGAGAAAAACACACAGAGGAGGCAGGGCATCATCTAACTAGAGGATTTCCACTATCTGTTTGCTTCAGCTGGTTTGTTCTCTGTCAATCCTTTACCCCAACTCCATCCCCCCTCACTTGACCTCCCAGCTTGGCCTCCTTTGAGTAGGGCCAAGAGTTGTATCTTCAGAACATTGCATATTCAAGAGAGATGCTGATAGGATACAACTCTATCCTCGTGCCACATTTGCAACGTTCTTGCGGCCTGGTGTGAGTGCCAAATTGGGTGAGCAAATTCAAGCATGTGTAATCTGCTTGGTGTGTGCTTTTTTTACTAGCATACGAAGATCCACCACTGAGAACCGGGTGCAAAATGGCGGCTTTGGATGGTGGGGTGTGGAAACATACTCTTAGAATTATGGAGCAGTGTGCCTCTAAGCACAAGCTCAGCCAAGCAAATTTTTCAGTATGAAAACAGAGTTTGCAGTCCTCACACATAAAAACACTCTCCTGTTCCCCGCCCCCATGCACCATGTAATGAAGAAAGACATGTGTTTGCTCACTCCAGAGCATCTGGAAATATATTCTGCACTTTATACACCGGAGTATTCTACCTGTATTTCTCCTTGCAGCCGCATGGAACAACACATGTATCAGATCTATGAATCTGTAAGTAAATCTTTTAAAACTTGCTTAGCGGGGAGTGGTCTGTTCCTTGCAAAAGGGGTAGAAAGAGGGGAGTGTTGTAAACGGGGTAAGAAAAGTCTAACAACCTATATTCCTAATGTTCCACTGTGCTGCTGATTTTTGTGAGTTTGAAACTCTGCTACTGGGGCTCTCTTGTGTTAGAATCCAGGAACCCAGCCAATTCATTTGTTGTTCACCACACATGTGGGTTCACAAGGATTCATATATTTTCCTCCCACAAGCAGCCTAATATTTTTTTTGGGGGGGGAAGGAGGAGCCTTTTTCATTGTTGCTTTTGTTAAATAATTGTGAGCCATACAGTCATTGCTGATCTACTGCAAAACACATAAGTGATCTATCAGTAAGCTCCTGATCTAACGTCTGCCCACTCGTGTGCTAGATTACAAGGCTGTTTGCATTCCACTCTTTCCAGCACCACTAAGCCAGTTGTCAGCTTGAAAGTGGAGGCAATCTTTAAAGTCACTCTTACAGAAAAGACAAGACCAGTCTGGTCGACCTACTCCCAGGTAATCTTGCCGAGAGAATTAGATGCAACCTGTTACAAAAACTGTGTGCAGCACTTATTTAATTAATGTCCCCTGCCAGTCAAAATAAAACAAATCCCCTCCCCACTACCCGGAGTGTTTTCCAGGACCCAAGAGTAACACTATAACAGCTTAAAGAGGATATCCTTCAAAACAAAAAATGCAGTTTAGGTACAAAGGCACACATGGAAGGACCTCCTACTGAACTCAGTGGGATTTACTTCTGGGCATACATGCATAGGATTACAAAGACCACACACCCATTACCCAGCCCCGAACAGAACAAACCCAACTTCCTGTTGCTTCCAAGACAAAAGTATCCAGAGTAACAGGAAACACTTGAGTTCGCTCTCTTTACAATACTCTGTAACCCCACCAAAGAGTAACAATAAACATCTGCATCAATATTTGCTCTGCCTCCCATGGCCAAACTTACACATTTTGCCTACACACACTCATGGAACTGCATTACATAATGTGAAAAATGTGTCCCAGCCTCTTCTACAACATGGGTCTTCCACAGGTGGGCCAAACCCACAGAAGTGGGTATTGCCCAACCTAAAGTCGATCATGCATACTGGAGCTGGGGCTAGAATCTGTTTGGTTTTCATTTTAAAATGAAAGAAAGATGCAGAGAGAAAGAGAGTAAAGTGCGCTGTTCAGCAAAAGGCAGAGTGTCTTTTTTTGCATTTTGGTTTTTTCAATGCAAACTGCATTTGCAAAAATACCCTGTTCTATACAACCATTAACAACAATGCAGGGGCTCTGCCTTCCTTTGCCTCCGATCATCCTAAAAATCGGTGGGGAAAAGTGGGCATATGTGGTAAAATGTATCTACATGTGTTGCATGTTGCTTTAAAGCTTCCTGGGTCTGAAAAAGTGAAGGCTATTGACCAATGCTGCTGCAAGGGATCTTGGGACACACATCTCTGACTGTACACTGCTTCAGTGGCACTCTCAAAGTAGGAATGAGGCAGACTTTAGGCTTGTTCGATCTACTTTGCGCTTTGTAGAACTTCAAGATCTTCCAACCAGAGCCAAGTGCAAAAGACATACACTTAGAATGAAAAAGATCTGAGCACATTCGGAGCATAGGAATTTGTTTCCAGTACCTGAACTGAACTGAGCTTACATTACTTTCACAACAATATCCACTCCCGCCTAGTTTTCTTCATTTCAGCTGACTGTGTTAGATGGGAGAAGTTATTTTGCTGTAAGCACTGTAAAATAACTAGGAGTCAGAAAGTCCTGCCAATCTACTGCAAATCACCCTGAGATCATCTGCCAGATTTGCTGTTCACTAGAATGGAACCGTACTGTTCATGCTAGCTTTGGGTTCAATTACAGCAAAAAAATAAAAATAACAAAACAAACCCAACAAAACAGAAAACAAATCTTCAGAATACAAAGGTATCTTGAGGACTTATAATTTGGGCTGTGCAAACTTTCAGCCAGTTAACTGGTTGATTAAAAACATTTAACCAACTGAAAAGGCCGCAAATCAATTGGGCAGCATGTGAATTATTTCCCAATTTGTCAGTAGATTTCTCTTGTCCTGGGCAACCCAAAGTGACTTACAACCCAACAGACAGGCAACAAACCCAACACAGATACACTAAACCAAGAGAAATACGATTAAAAACACCCCACCTGGGCATGTGTGTATGGCAGGCATAGGCAAACTCGGCCCTCCAGATGTTTTGGGACTACAACTCTCACCATCCATGACCACTGGTCCTGTTAGCTAGGGATGATGGGAGCTGTAGTCCCAAAACATCTGGAGGGCCAAGTTTGCCTATGCCTGGTGTATGGTATAAAAATTGTAGACAGCAGATGCAATCTTAGCAGAGGCATTGCCTCTGCATCGTGTCCAAGACATTTTGCAGCCTCGGGTAAAGGACAAGATGGTACCCCTCACCACAATTCCATGTAAGAAGCTGCCTGGACTGGCAGTCAAATGTCACTTCTACACTGGCAACAGGGCAGTGTATCTGGTAGGGCAAGTTTCATGGTGCATAGAGCTTTGTCTTCCAGCCCCTCACTGCTGCTCCCTGCCTCAAAACATGTTTATGCCTAATGGTCCGACTGGCCCTGGTTTCTTCCTTCACTTCCGCACAGGAAGGACACCTAGCACAGGAAGGATGGCGTTAGGACCCTCAGGGTCCCTTCCAACTCTATGATTCCATGATTCTATTATTCTAATTAGGAGCAATATCACTGCTACTTCTGAAAGTTATTTTATAACAAATTCCTTGCCACCAGATGTGCCGACTTGAATAAAATATTGCGGGGGCCCAGGTAAGTCCCACCCCACATAATTGATCAGATGACCTGGTGCACACACACTATTTGAATGGCAGTGCCCATAAAGTTTTTTGGGGGAGCCCTCTAAAATATTTTATTGGGGGGCAAAGTCCCCACAGCCCTTAGGAGTTGGCTCCTATGCTCGCCACCAACTTTCTACTTGTTTCATACTGGACCTCAGTTTCTTTTTTCTTTTTTGGGGGGTGGGGTGAGGTTCTACACATAAATTTTCCTCTTCCCCCCCCACCTGCTCACAACTTCACATTTTTAGCCGAAGATGACTGATGGGCGCCATGTAATCTCCGCATCTTTTGCTTTACCTTCAGGCAGCTCCAAGAGGCATGGAGCTCCTTTCTGCTGATCTAGATATATCTATATCACACATCCAAAAACAAGAACTGAAACATCTTTCTCAGCTCTAGCAGCTGAGATCATTCAACTGGATATGGAGCCTTGGGAAGATCTGTATGCAAAACTTGTCTTCTGCCAAAGTGAGATAGGTTCCCATCCCTTTTATTTTATTTGCTCTCCAGTGTATAACTAGAAATTCTGCCTCTGGAGATCCAGTGGAGAGGTGAAGCCAGAAACATTCAGTGTATTATTTTACACTCAAGCGGGGGCAAAGCAATTTGGATTCCCTATCACAGCTCAAGTAAGAGAAAGTTCTCGCAGGACTCAACTGGGAACTATTTGTCCTGTATCTCCCAGGAAATCAATCACACAGTCATTGCTAGCATCAGGGACTGGCATCCCAGGGGAGTTGCTGGTGACCAGGAAGGACCCAACCAGCTCTGATGCCTCCACAACAGCTGGGTTTGTGAGCCTCCATTTTATTTTCCCACAGCGCCTCCAGACACGCACACACACACACACACACACACACACACACCCCAATGCTGCTGGCACTACCACAGCCTAGGGGGACCCATCAACGTAAATTACCCAAAGCCCTTCCAAATCTAGAGCAGGCTTTGCAAATACTATATGCAAATACTACATTTGGCCTTAAAGTCCATAGAATCCTTCATCTGCTTGTGTTCCCTTGTGACAGAAGGTCCTTATGCTCCTATCCAAGGCCACATTCACTCATTTCTTCCAAGTGCATCCATATGGCTTCTCAAGGACACAAATTCTCAGGAGTGTACAGGTGGATTTGCTTTGCCAGATTTATATGGCATGAAACTTCTGACTGACCCCTCAAGTCTGTTACCTTTCGTGTCCTCATCCTCTATGGTGGTGTTTGTGCTGTCGGAGGATTCCTGTGGAAACATACAGGGGTGAAAAAAAAGGAGAAAGCGAAACATTAGTGGCTCTGGCCAGAAACAAATGCCAGAGGAGAGGTTGAACTTGCACAACTGGGCACATCAGAAGAGGGACCAGGGAGAGCTCAAAAGCCCTGCAGCTGACTAAGTAATTATTAGGGGCACCCATTGTCTCTTCTCTTTCTTGCCTCTAACAGGAACATCTTTCAAACCAAGTAGGTTCAAAGATATAAAAGGGATTTCTGCCAGGAGAAAATGCAGGGATGAATCTTGACCAGGAATAAGCAACTCAAGGCTCTCTAGATGTTCCTGGACTACAATTCTCATATTTCCTGATAGTTGGTCATGTTGGCTGGAGTTGATGGGAGTCCAAGTCCATCAACATCCCATATCCCTGATCTAGACTTCCAACATGACTACATTCCTGAGTTCTCTCCACCATGATACATCAGAATTCCATATATCTTCCTTCAAACCCTTAATCTCTTCCCTTTTAAATGAATGCTCCCTGATCAAGTCTTAACTTCCCATCTTCACAAAGGAAAATAGTTGAAATTATGGCAATTTTAGAGCAGGTCCATAAACTTCTTGCCTCTGAATGTGGAAACCCACCATTTTCGCCTGCCATGAGATCCTGAAAGCCCCAGGGAACCATTAGGATGGTATTCAGTACAGTTTACTCAGAGTTGACCCACTGAAATTAATGGCCCTGTCTTAATTTCATTGGGTGTACTCTGAGTAAAACTTAGTTGAATACCACCCTTAGTCACAATAGCTGTAGGTGCAGAGATGGCAGGCCTCCGAGGGCATAACTACACAATATGTTAACCATGCTTCTGAGCTACGAGAGCTTCCCTCCCATCCAATGTTAATTCTTGCAGAATGTGATACTGTGGACTATTATCCCCACCCCCTTTCCAGTTAATTTTTAAAAAACCTACATTTTGATTCCTAGCCACATTGTGAATGTAATGTACAGTAGCTAGGAGCAGCAACTGGAGACAGCTATTGGCCATCATGTTGTGCTTGCAGGCTACCTGGAGGGAATCTGACTGGCCATTGTGAGTAGCAGATGGAGCTTTGATCTGACCTAGCAGGCCTCTTTTTATATTCTAATGATTCTTTCTGTGTCTGTCTTCATGGGGAAACATTTGTGGTGCTACAACAATGCCATGAGAAGATAGGGTTTCCAATCTTGTGCCTTCCTCTTGAAGGAACACATCCAGGACAGAATTTGGGGTAGGGAGGGGGGTGCTTAACTTTCTCCTGTCTACCAATTTCCCCTGCAAATGCATCCCAGGGAGTTTAAAGTATTTCTGCCACCTGAGAAGCAAAGCACCTCCCCTTCCCGTCTACCAGCTCCCTCCACAAATGCCCTTCCCTACACTCAAGTCATCTTGACAACTTGGATTCTAAATCCTCATTTGCCAAGGCAACGCATTCTCCCACCCTCAACTCTGGGCATCAATGATCACACTTTGGGCAAACAATTCCCACCAAATCCAAACCTATTATACCGTGCCAGATTATACCCTGTAAAGCATAAGCACAATTTAAAAACAAAATGAGCTCAGAAAAGAATCCTGGGGAAACATTATCTCTTCTTCAGAGTCACCTATGGGAACCAAACACAGAATAGTGCACCTTGCCAAAAATACAAACGTTTTAGTACACGGTACATCCAGCAATTAAGGAAGAAAGAGAAACATATGCTTAAAGTAGCGCTTTTAATCTTAAGAGCGTTTTACAGAGCTTGTCCGCTCACTGAATAGAGAAGAGCTCTGTGTCACGAATGCTGTATATTCAGCTCCTGTGTGTAAATCCAGCCCACTTCTGCTGCCCCGCTGATCAGGCCCATCATTACCCTGTCAATAACAGAGCGCCTGGGAACAGCTGAGCAGTATGCTTAACCTTCTCCACTGCGCTGCAGACTCTTCTGGCTGAAGAACCCGTGTTCCTGCTTCTGTCCTACAGCAGGTGTAGCAGTTAGCACTGTCCAGAGCAGGAGGCCAGTAATGAAAACAAGAACATTTCTGGACAATGTAAGATCACAGACCCTGTGAATGGGTGGAGGGAGTGGAGCATCAAGTTGATAAGAACCATCAGCTCCAACTGACAGTTGCCCTGGGACAAGACAGCATGAGAGGAGCACTCTCTCGCTCCTGCCATCAGCCAGGAAACCTAAGGCTGCTGGGAAGCTACACCTTCTGCCTCCCAAGAATAATATTGAGACAAAGGGGAGGCCAGAGTGGCAACAGCTACAAGGAACCCACTTCTCCCCTCCCTGCCTGAAAGAATGCTCTTCTCCAACTCCCTCTGGCCCAGAGACCTGAGAAGCAAAGGGAAAGAACCCTCTGGCTCCATCTATTGGCCAATGGAACAAGAGCCACCAATGGCTATTCACACAAGAGCCACCAACAAAGGAAGACCAAGCTGGGCCAAACTGGATAAAAATGCCCAGCAGTTTGTTCCTGCCTTGAAGATCTCCCTCTTCTTTTTCCTTTCTTTCCCCTTTTTGTGTGCGTCTGATCTTTCTAGTTTGCAAGACTGGTGGCAGGGCCTCTGTCTCTGTGTGTGTTGATATGAGCCACTGTGGAAGACAGTCATTGTCTGGAAAGCAGGATAAGAATAGAGTAAATAAGTAAAGCTAAGGGGCTCCATTCAAGGTGCATACAATCTGCCCCAACAGTCATGCCAGCTGAGAAAGGTCTCTATGCAAAACTGAAGGGGGTGAGGGAGAGGGAGGGAGAATGCTATTCTATGTAAGAGGAGGAGCTGGAATCAGATTTGCTACCTCTGGTATGGCTTTCAACACTGGAACCCGATTTCTGGATTCTGGAGACTTCAGGGCTCGTTTTTTTCTGTTAACTCGTGCCATTTGGTGGCAGGGTTTTGCGATGTAGATAGCTGGCTGCTACCGCTGCCCAGGGGTCAGGACTGCAAACCCACTTTCCCTGTAGGAGGTCACACTATAACCTCCTGGAGGGAAATCTCGCCGAATCATTTAAAATTCCTCAAGCCTATGAATGAAAAAGAATTTGGACAAGTAAACAGCCAGCGCTTGAGGAATCACACTGGTACTGTCACCAAGGAAGAAAAATAAAATGACTTATTCAGTTCTCTTGAGGAGCATCCGGAAATGCTATTGTCTGCTTCAAATGGTCCTACTCTTATGTGATATACTGCAGGCTGTGTATGCAGTTTAAACACAAGCAGTCCTGATTCTCTGCTGCCCTTGCTTCTCTGCTGTTGTTTCTGAAAGCAAACTGCGTTGCATTTTCCTTATAATTATTGGGATAAATTAGAACACACCAAATTTTGCAGAAAGGGTCAAGAAATTCAAAGACTTCTGGCAAGGGAAAAGAGGCTGCAAAACCATCCAGACAAGTGCATTTAACACCTCTGGATCTTAGGCAATTCACTTATCTGGTATTTCACCAGCTCCACGGGGCTGAAGGTCCTTCTAACTAGCTTAGATGGCTCTCACAAGAGATCAGACAAATTCATGGAAGGCAAGTTAATCAATGGCCCATATGATAGCTCTATGCAATAGGTTCAGAAAGAGCGCACTTATGTGTACCAGGTGCTGGAAAGCCATAGTGGGAGAAGCCTGTTGGCTTTCATGTCCCTGCATGTTTGCTTCCTGGAGGCAGCTGATCGGCCACCTTAGGAAACAAGAGGCTGGACTAAATGGACTTTAGAGTCTGATCCACCTGGGCTCTCCTTATGCTCTTAGTTTGTGTGTGCCTCGTGGCGTTTTTTCAGAAATTGCTTATTATTATTAATTAAATTTATTTATGATGTCACAGTGTTTCTCAAATGCTTTGAACTCTGCCCTTCTAAACTTATGCCACCTTTTCTGTAGGTGGACGGGGATGAGTAGTTCTGATAATCTCCTGCATGGATGAATATGCAGAAATCCTTGCACACTGTATATACATATAATCTACCGCACACTAATATCTACTGACTGGGGTAGTGATATCACACTTGGAAGCAAATGCCATTGATTTTATTTTTTTGGCCAGGATAGCTGCACAATTCCATTGCCTTACCAGGGAGATGCAGTATTAGAAAACCAAAAACCTCGTCAAAATTACCTACTGAAAAAAGGCTCAAATGTGTGCTCTAATGTATACTTGAGGCTCATGAAAAATTTATAGGAAAGTATATTCTGGGAGAAGGATCATACCTCAATGGTAAAACACATACTTGGTATGTAAAAGGTTCCAGGGTCAATCCCTGACATCTCCAGGTAAGACTGGAGATGATTTCTGTCTGAAACCCTGGAGAGTCACTGCCAATCAGTGGTAGTAAACTAAATGGACCAGGCATCTGACACAGTAAAAGACAGTTTCTTATATTTCCAACTATATTCTTATTTCTCTTTTCTTAAAAAAGCCATATATCACATGGGGAGATAAGCTGTCTTTGTTCCTAAGAAGTTTGGCTACTGCTTGCTTTTTTTTCTTGCTTTTTCTTTTTCTTTTTTTCTTTTTTTTCTTTTTTTCTTTTTTTGGGTCTACCTGAAGGTCAGAATAATTTCAGCAACAGCTCTGGCACAAAAGGTGATTCATAAAGCATAAAAATGGTAGGGTTATGCTTTCCTTATTTTTAATGTATGAAGAGAGTTCCAATTTTCCAACTAAAAATGAACAAACTCTTGCTTGTGTTTATTGTCAGAACTATAGCTTCTTTTTTTAGCACTACTAGATACTGGAACTGGCTGGATTATGGTACTATAGATGGGGGAGGTATAGGAGCTAGGATTTTCCATTTATGTGGTATGCTAATCCTGTTCAATTGTTGAAAAACACCAAAAACAGCAAAGGGGGAAAAATTATTCTCTTATAGATCACATTTTGGGGGATCTCTGAAGCTATGATAAAAACAGTAGATTTACAGTCTGGAGATGGCTCAAATATGATTAAAAGGTTTCCTTAAACCTAGAAGATAGCTGTTCTCTCCCTGACAAAAGGGTCAGTGATCTCAATGTAAGAGGAGTTAATGACAACACATTTGAAGCATGCAAAGAAGCCTGACAGGCTCTCTATAAACCAGAGTCATTATAGTAGCAGAAGAAGGGTTTGTGCTCAATCAGAAGACAGCTGCAGGATCCAATCATAGTTCAGCATAGGGTCCCCATGACCTTTAACCAAATACGTACAGCTTTTATTTTCTGACATCAATGCATAGGTTACATTTTACTTTTTCAAAACAGATGACCACCATTATTCAGCTTTCACTACATACACTTAAAGCAGGAAATACACTATCCAGAAGATGGAAAAAGAGAGGAGGGCACAATTGTTTCTATAGTTTGTTTGCCTGGCCTCTACCCGGTCTTAAGTGTTTTTTGAAAACTCTGGTCGCCTTCCCCAAGCTCCATTTAATGGCTGCGCCAGATGCATTGAGTGAATGGGCTTGAAGAGGAAGCATAACAATGATGATAAGAAATTAAATCCCTGTGGCAGAGAATGGGTAAGAAAATGCAGGTTTGGGTGGAGGCGAGGGCTGTGTCCGAGCAATGGATGATTGTGGCATGGAGTTCCTCAGCCAATCCGAGTTCTTGGATTGGTCTTTTTTGGTCTGCCTGGCTGCGTTCTTTCACTTCAGAATGAAGGAGCTCACAATTGCTGCCCTCTGGTTAGCTCCTCTGGGGTCAGAGTAGAGGCTTTCTCCCCCATCCTAACACCCAGATCAAACAGCCCAGGTGATAAGGATAACCACACCAAAATATGCATCATTGCAGATGGCAATTGAGGCAAGTAGCACTCCCCCCACTCTGTAGCTTTTGGCTACAACCCAGAATATCTGATTCATTCTATCTCTGTGCCTAAAAAGCACCAGAGGAACTTTCCACCAGAAGAGGCGGAGAGCCTAACCTTTATGATTCTCCAAAGAGACAGAATCTTTTCAAACCAGAGCTGTGCCATCAATCTCAATGACATGGCTGGATTCATATTGGTGCATGTGAAAGAAGGGAGAGAAATGAGGTAAAATACAGCTCCCAGAGAACTATTCTATCTTCTTGGGCATCATTGACTCATTCATGAAGACTAGGCATCAAGGAAAAGCTCAGTTGAGCAGCTCCACTTCAGATTTATCTGGCTGCCTTCAGATTTATCTGGAACATGCTTCCCAATAAACTCTAAAGGGCAACCTTTTTAACAAATGTCTACCATAGGAGGCAAGTGGATTGGGTTCTATCTTATGTGGTTTCAGGCATACTGAAACAGACAAGAGGTGCAAAACCTGAGCCTACAGTCTGTCCCCAGAGGTGAAAATACACAGCAATGCAAGGAGCAGAAAGTCAATTTTTATCCAAGATTACAAAAGGGCAAACTGAGGAGAAGGAAAGACAGGCAGCAGTACCTTAATGCCGTCCACTGGGTTATGGATAACGGTGGTTTGAGGTTCCTACAGAGGAAGAAAGGATGAACCAAAGAAAAAAAGGAAGAAGATAAAAGAAATGAAAGAAGAGATAAAGAAGAAAAAAGGTGGTAATTTGAAGAGACAGGGGAAGAAATGGAGCAGAAAATGGCAGTAAAAATGTGAAGAAAAGGGAAGAGGGTGAAAAAAGACCAAGACCCACATGAGAGCAGGGAGGGGAAACAGAATGGAAGGGAAAAAAGCAAAAGGTAATTAGTTCAGCAAAAGGCAAATGATTAACAAACAGAAAGTGGCAGAGTAAATCAGGGACAGAAGAATCGAAACTGGATTTTTCATGAATGAAACCAAAAATCATATTCAACCCCATGGCAAGATTGTTGTGAGCCCCTTGGAAATGGAGAGTGGAAGCTGACGTTAACATTCAACCTTTCTGCAAGCCAAAGAAACCATTGCAATAGGGAAAATGATAGGAAGCGCCAAGGAGAAGAGAAAATGGCAGGAATGAGCTCCCCAAGGAAGTGTGGTCAATCCATACCATGGCAGTTAACATCTCAATAGAGGCTCCACCTGAGATCATAGGGAAGAAGAAAAAGAAAAGAAAAAGAAGAGCAGAAGACCCTTTGACCACATCCCCTAGTCCTGAAGAGAACTTTTCATTAAGAATGAAAGTCTATCCCATTCAGAGACGCTTCCTCTAGAAGGATGCTCTGGCTTATACCTTTCACCCATAGCAGCTCTGTGCAGAAGGATTTTACAAAAGGGACTGGGTTCTGAAGAGTGCTCCTAGTGCAACCAATATCACCTTGCAAAATGCCAATAATCTTCATCACTGAATGCTTACCTTTTGCATCAGTGTGGTGGCGGGAAACCTGACCATACTTTAAGAGACATTTAAGATGTACTTACCTGGAAGAAGGTCCCTCGAGGCGAGCCACAAAAAAATGCACCACAATGATTTATTTATTTTTAATGGGCTTTTTTAGGTCTGTGACAGCTGGAGTGAATATTTTAGGGTGGGTTTTTTTAAAAAAGGTATTAAATGAGCTAGACCAGTGTTTCCCAACCTTGGGCCTCCAGCTGTTTTTGGACTACAACTCCCATCATCCCTAGCTAGCAAGACCAGTGGTCAGGGATGATGGGAATTGTAGTTCAAAAACAGCTGGAGGCCCAAGGTTGGGAAACACTGAGCTAGACTATTACATCATATTATTTTTGCCTGATTTGCTAGGAGCAGGTGATCAGATGCAAAAAAATGTCAGGGCTTTTATACCTTGGCTGGCTCTAGACACATCAAGAAAGTGATTCAGTTAAATGGGCTGTAAACTTCATACAGGGAAATCCCATTGGTGAAAGGCAGGGCTCCACAGCGCCATCTGGTGTCACAGTGTTATAACATCTATAAAGCGCTTTATCTTTACGAATGTAGCTGAGTCCCTTGAGTAGCTAGAGAAGAAAAGTGAACCAATACTGAACTAGATTGACTAAAAATCTGATCTGCTAGAGCAGCTTCCTTATTCTTCAAAAACGTACAAATGTAGCTTGATTAGGTCATTAATTATTTCATTAATCAATTTTGGAGCACTCATGTTTTTTAAAGTTGCATAACTGCCATAATAGGAACAGTTTTAAAGGGAAGCAATCTCTTAAAAAACTGATTACGGTTCACACTTTTCCGGATTATTCTGAAGTTCCACTGTTCTTCCTGCGCTGTTGAAGGCAGGATGCCTCTGAAATATCAGTTGCAGGAAATCGCAAGTGGGGAGAGAGCCGTCAAAGTCAGGCCCTACTTGAGGGTTTCCCATGGCATCTGGTTGGCCACTATGAAAACAAGAGTGCTGAACTAGTTGGGCTTTTGGCCTGATCAGCACTGCTCTTCTTATGATCTTAAGTCTTCCCCATGGCTGACACCTAAAATCTGGGTCCTGCAAAGTGGCTAATGCTGCAGACAGAATATTAATCATTATCTTGGAGAAAAATCAATGGGACTCTATTTTTGTGGCTTCTATTAGAAGGCTAGAGACTGCAGCTGATCCCAGGTGAAGCTGATTGGTCTGCAAAAGGGCAGGTTCTATATACATGAACGACCCATAGCCATGGTAACTAGCGTTACCCATTCTGGAGGCAAGCTGGTATTGGCAACCAAATCAAGAAGTCATTATTGGCTTTGTGGGGAATGAAACAAAGCTAAGCTTGATGTTTGCTGCCCAAAGTCAGTTCTCATCTGAAGAGGCTGGAACGGTGGGTGGGAATATCTGCTGTGGGTAAATGGGACTGAATGGAGGCAACATAAGCCCCACATTTCTTTTCAAGATCCAAAGTTGCTTTTCTCGCCCCAGCAGCACACTTTGAATGGGAGCATTCACCAGCTACTTCCTAAAATTCACAGCTCCACAAGGGGCTGACTATGGAAGTCATTGAGAGATTGGCCCTTTGTTCCTTCAGCTGAGCCAAGATTTCTCTCAATGGACAATTGGTGAATTGGACTGGAAAAGACATCCATTTCGTAATGTCAAAAGCACAGTTTTTCAACCCAGTTTCTCTGGAGGTGCAAATATTTGTTCTTTTGGCACTGTTACAGAAGGAAGCTGTAGCTTACTGCTGTTGCCACACTGTGCCTAAAGAACTTGACATTCTTTCCCAAACTGATATTAACTTCTGGGGACTTTGCATGGTGGGAAAAGAATTTCCCATCAGGCTTTAGGGTATTTTCTGGACTTCTTAATATCAAGCAAATAACATGTTTGAATGGGACAAATTCAGTACCAGTTTTAGAAAATGTTTCAACTTCCAATGCAAAGAGGGGAAATGTTTGGCACTGTCTGAGACGAAATATACCAGACCAGCAATTGCATGTTCTATTCTCGCTGGAAGTAATAGTTTATAATGTAACTAAAAGATTTCAAAATGCCTCTTTTAAACCGATAAAAGCAACTAAGTGGGATGCAACAGCAATAAAATGCTTGAAAGGAAGGAATAAGAAAGGAAGCTAGAAAAGATAGATGCACTCTGCAATCTGAACATGGCCGTATCATATAACAGAACAGCCATATAGAGCTGGCTATACCATAAGGATAATGCCTGAAAAATTCTACAAAACTTTGCTATTCCATTACAAGGGCTCATTATGTGTTTTTTACACAGTGGAAATTCACATTACATTACTGGAAAATTGCATTTTGCCTAGAGAAGGTAGGTTATATGGCATTTGACAATATTGCAAACAGACAATTATTTGAGGACTGAGTGCTCACTGTCCATATCCTTAACGCAGTAGGGAGGCATGGCTGCAATGTATCCACTTATCCCAATATATACTCACTTGGCAGAAGAGGGCTACCACAAACCCTACAGGGCCTGGAACGTCCTGATGTAAGACATTACGACATTACTGGTGGAACTTGAAACAGTAACATATTCAAGGTGGGGCTTGGAACCTTACTGCTACTTACAGCACAATCCTGTACATTCCTACTCAAAAGTAAGACCTGCTGAGTTCAATGGGGTTTACGCCTGGGTATGTGGCTATAAGAAAACAGCCTCAGTATCTTAACCTGGAGTAGCGTGCTCCGTACATTTTGAGCAATAATGCAATCAAACATGCAATTTTATAGAGCTCATGGCAACTACTGGTTAGATCTGCTTCTGAAAAAACTCAATTTCTAGTTTCAATATAGGCATGGGGAAAGGCCATAGCTCAGTGACAGAGCATCTGCTTTGCATGCAAAAGGTCCTGTGTTCAGTGCCCAGCATCTCCAGGTTGAGCTGGCAGCAACCCAGTCTCTGAAATCCTGGAGGGTCAATGCCAATCAGTGTAGATAACACTGAACTAGATGGTCCAATAGTCTGACTCAGTATGTCAGCCTCCTATGATCCACTCTATCCTTTCTGTCTTTGAAGTTACAGCATAAGCTGCTGCCAAGAGGTTCATCAGATGGTGATCTACAGATGATGGTGAGGTCCATCAGCATCCATCTTGTGTGATAGATAAAATAACTTGGACATCAGTCAATTCAAGTTTGATATGCAATGCCCTCCAGTATACAGTAGAAGACCAAAAGAAAATGTAATCTAATGGGTTGGATCCAGGCTAAGTTAGCTAAACTTGGTTTGACTGAAGTCAATGGAACTTAACAAGTCATGACTAACTAGTTCCACTGATTTCGGCTGGTCCTTAGTTCAAGTAACTTACTCTGGATCCAACCCAATAAGCTTTAAGCTTCACCAAATCACCTCTGAGAATTTAGAAACTTTTTCTACAATTCTAATTCCTTTACATGACAATGCGCCATTCATTTGTCAGTGCTTGTGGCAAAACTGGAAAGTTCTGAATGGTTCCTGTATGTATTACTGATAGCACTCAGTTCATAGTACTTTTCTTTTAATTTGTATAAGATGATAGCAAAATAACCATGCAACTTACCAGTAGTCTGGAATGCCCACGAGAACACAATAGGCTATTGCAATAATGACAAACACCTACACTTCAGAAATATTTCACAGCCACAATAAATCATTTAACTAATCAATCATTGGCAATGTATGGGACGGGTAACCTGTGATAATCTTGTGAATGGTCATCAAGTTGGTTGAAGAAGGTTGTATGGTAAAATTAAGAATGCCTGAATTTCAAATGAGCGGTTGGATCATATACAAACAAGTCTTCTGATGACTGTACTTGATGAGGATTTATCAGAATTTCAAATATGCACATAGAAAAGAAATAAACTTTCCATACATATAGCTCAGTGGTGAGGAACATGTAGTCTTCCAAATGCTGGACTCTCAACTCCCATCAGCCCCAGCCAACATGGTCAATGGATGATGGGAGTTGAAGTTCCAACAACATTTGGAGATCACACATTCTCCATCCTGGTACTAGACAAATGTAACAGACACAATAGATTTGTGGAAGCCAACACAAACAAGTCCTTCCAGGTTTTGGGAACTGCATAAGAGCCACCCAAGTTAATTCTAAGACCAAACCATTCAAAACTTGTTTGAAGAAACGTCAAGCAGTATGAAGCTACCAAATAATAAATAATTTGTTATTTTCAGTGTGACATTAAAGTGACCCAGCTTAGGTTGAATTTAAGCCAAAGCATGTTTTAAGGAGAACATAATCCCAGCATGCGATTGGCAAGACCCACGTTTCTGTGCTTATTTGACTGAAAATGCCTGCTCATACTGGAAAAATGGATCATGTGAAGCCACCCTTGGAAAGGATTTGTTAAGGTCAGAAAGACTAACAGGCCAATCTGTTACTCCCTATGCTGGATTACTTATGCAGAACCAATTGGGCATCACTTATACTAACAAGATGCTGAAACAGATTGATGGCAAGTTGAAATGTTCTGCCTCTACTTTTATGTGTGTGTGTATGACAACACAATACACAAGAAAGGACGGGACGGGACTAGAAGATGGAATGAATGCCCTCGTTTCCTTCTCTAAATCCTTGTGTCTTTTATATGCACACAACCAACATGCAGAACTGCAAGAGTGGATAATTGCTCTCCCCTCTGTTGGGTCTCTGTGTGACAAAAAGGACACGAAGCTGAGGTTAATTGCTAAAACTATTCTGTCAGAACAAAAATTCTAATTCTATGTCCTTTTTAAAGCACATTCGGTAATTGTTTCGCTGGCACTATGCCTGTCCCCGACAGTTGATGCACAATTCTAGCTCAGCACCTCTGACTAAAGTAGATCTCTTATAAATAGATACTCTCTGGGGAACTCCTCCGCTCCTGCTTCTAGCAATCTTTAACCTTAAAAAAGTTTGTGCTGTCTTATTCAGTGTTTGTCTGACAGACAAAGAGATGGGGATTGCAGGAATTTCTTCAGCAGTTCTGCTACCCCTTAATCTGCTTTGGACAGGTGATCAGGAATCAATCCGTAGAAGAGGCCACAGGCCAAGGTCTGTGACATGGATAATTTTCGGTCTATATATACTATTTGGGAGTCTGATAATTGGGCTAGAGCATGAGAAACCTACCCTGGATTGATTCAGCAGCTTAAGGAAACGGAGGTTACAAGGGAAGGAAGGGTTAGTTAAAATGCTGAGAAAAACATGGTTCTACCAGCACTGGTGAATGTGTCTCTGAATTATACTACGGAATAAAAGCATTTAAACAACAGACTTGACATACATATTCTAAGGACGGATTACTTCAGGGCAGTTAGCTCCCACAGATTTAGGGGAGTGGGGAAATGCTAGCCCCACATATAAACTGCATGATCATAATATGGCATTTAAACCCTACCTGCCTTTTGACAGATTTTATAATTGGATGAAACCAGAAAAAAGTTTGATTTTTTACTTTTAATGTCTAAATTAAAAACAGAAAGTGATATGTGAAAAGTCAGTTCTCACATCTCCTTTATGATGTGGGTGCCCCTGAGATACAGAATCACATGGGGCCATAACCGCATGGGAAGCCATGTATGCCAAACAGTTCACACATGTAGAGGGTAATTTTAACCATCTTAGTGGAAACATTCACTTCTGGATGTGGTTAAAATCACCCCACTATATGGGGGGGCTGCTTCAGTCATACAGTTCAAGCCACACAGAATTTGACATCTCAGTGCCATCCATGCTAGAAAGGTCTTCAAGTCTAAGCACTCGTTTTCCTTATATATGATGCTCAAATCTGACTCGCGACTGTTTAAATATCAAACATATTCAGAGCCACAATGGTTTTTAAGCAGCCCTGAAGCACTGTATTCTAGCCACTCAGGTCTGCATTATTTTTCAGGCACTGGCCCCAATTCAGATGTAACAATAGTAGACCAAGAACAAGCATTGTGCCTGCATGCTTCAGACTCTCATTTACTCTTCTATTCTCTTGTATGGGGTTATTGAAAGCTTCTGAGGTTTGTTAAGCCACAGATTCCTGTTAGATATGATCAGGGAGATGTGGTTTGATCAGTCTACAAACAAGAACCTCAAACCAAGAGCAGATTTTATGGTTTGATATCCTTGTTTGTAGTCAGAAATTAAATTACAGTTTCCTGGTTCAGATTTTCCTGGAAATTTTCTGTCGTGGCAGATGAAAGAAAGGAGGAAGGAAAAGGAAGTACAGAGGCACAACACTTGTCCTTGGTCCAATAAATAATGATTTCTTGGACCAACTGGAGCATCTTTATATACTCAGAAATAATTCTGCAGTTGGTTTTATAGGTTTCCTAACAAACTCAAGTCAACATTGCTGGCATTTTGTTAATCATCTTTAGATTTCCTAATTTTACTTGTAAAATTCATTCTGCTACAATTTGCCTGAGCACTCTAACTTAGGGCAGTGCATAATGTTTTTTTATTATTGCGACTTGCCTTTTTTAAGAGAAAAATGTTTGTTTCTTCATTGGGTTCCATAATGAACCTCATCTCTTATTTCAGGAACAACTTTTGGTATAGCAATCCAGCAGTGTGACATTCCATATCGGTACCAATATCTGGCTCCCACCATCCAACATGATTCTACAACCAGTGGATCCTTGACATTTCTCAACACAGTCCTAAGAAAAGTTGGGGTTTGTTTTTTGCAGTTTGGGGTTTACATCCACAGGCAGCAGTCCAGGGACTGATATGGCTGCTTGGGCCCCAGGGGAATTTCAGAGAGAAAAACATAAAGGGGACAGACTGGTGTGGCAAATGAGGCCTATGAATACCTGGTGAGGTGTGGAAGACCTATAATACACTCTTTTTTATTGCTTCTGCCCAGAAATGATAATACTGTTTGCCCTGGTAATCAGGCTCTGAATCAACAGCTAAAATTTGCTTATCTCATTGCAGTGTTATGAGAACTACTGTGTTATGAGAACCTAGGAAACTGCAACCGCCATAGAACCTTTTGGCAGAAGATTGCTGCCAGGGAACAGGTTGAATTTAGAAATGATGAATGTTAAATTGGGTTCTAAATTGGCGAGAGGATATTCCAGTATCATGGGCCCAGCTGAATAATGAGTTAAACATCTATGCAAAGGATCTATGGCAAGACCATGAAGAACACAGCAGATGCCCCCACTAAAACACACACATATACACACATCTGTGTTGCAAAAACAGCAGACAGCAATACATGGCACCACACGTCGGAGCCAGTAGAGGCAGAATGAATGTCATTCAAAAAATACGTCTCTATTGCAATCCCTAAGTAAAACCTACATTAGCAAAACAATAGGCAAACCACAGTGTTCCCACGATCTTTTGCCAGAGGGATTGAATTAAAATTACAAAAGAATCATACCAGCGCGGCTGGAGGAAGGGTCCCTTTCGGGCTGGTAACTCCGGTGCTGCCTTTGGTGCTGTTTGTTTGAGGCTGCAGAAAAGAAACACACATATACCAAAAAAAAAGAGAGAGAAGCCTCGGAACTGGAAGCCGAACAAATGCCACGCAAACCTTGGCACCACCCAAAGCTTCCCCCAGGAGAAGGAATAGATAACCCCACATTCTACATGGCAATTATGTACAAATTATGTTCTGGTGGAGAAAGAAGACCAAAAAAGGCCTTCTTTGCAAAGTGGCAAAAAGTTGTAGTGATGGCAGATTGTCTACAAAACCGAACAGTTCTTCAAACCAGCAAAGTATGACTACTCCATAAACTGAATTTTTACAATCAGTTCTGGGCTATGGATATGGATACACAAGAAGAGTGTGTAAATAAAGTGATCTCTCATAATATTGCGTAATTCCTAACTTTCCCCAACTCTTCCCCCAGAAAAGCCTCAGAAGGATACTTACCTTCACGCCGTCAGCTTTCTTGTTCAGTAAACTCTTAGCTGCTGCATAGGGAGGAAAAGAAGATATTTTAGTGGCAACTCCCCCAGTGTCCCGAGACATACTCTGGGCTGCCTGAATAGCCAAAAAAGAATTACACAAGCCGCATTGATGCTGTTTCCTCATCAAATGCTAAAAGGAGGCTTGAGAACAATGGGTAAATCCCAAGCTCTATGAGTGTGGGCAAAGGCCCAACCTATGCCTTAGCCAAACGTAGAGGTATGGAGGACAAAGTGCCTTGAACAGGCAGTTTCCCAAAAGGAGGGAGGTCAGCAGGGGGGCTCCAATACTTCTGTGAAGTGGACATTTCACTTGATAATACCACAGTCATTGTTGTTGTTTCTCAAACGGCCATTGGCTTGGACACATATTGGTTTGTCCAAACTCTGCAGAATCACAAGCAGGGAGTCTCTGTGGGACAGTGTTCAGCTGAACAAAGTGGCATTCTAAATGAAGTGGGACAGCATCCTTCTGTGGGTCAGCTCTCAAAACATTCTCTCAATCCATCACTTGGATAACATCCGGACTCTTCTTTATTCATTCTTTGGTGATCCATAGCTTTCTAATCTGTCTAATGATATTATCAGATTACCCTTGCATGCACTGCCCATCTTAGCTAAATATATACTGGTTTCACTTCCACTGAAATTTACGCACTTTGTAATGGGAACGCTAGACTCCTTTAACACCACCTGATGCAGCTCATTCTCCAGACAGTATGTGAGTTCCGGATTTCCTTGACAGGTGCTAGACAAATTTAGGAATGGCTACCTGCAACTCTTTGACCTTTTACTCTAAGGGTTCCTAAGATTTTTAAGTTTTTTTAAATGAGCTGCAATACAACTTTGTCTTCAACAAGCTGTCTATGGGACCCCATGTTCTAACAAGCATGCATCCTCAAGAACTTTGCTGCCTGAAATGTTAATATGCCTCATGTCATCCCAGCAAAGTGTTAATTCAACCACTTAAATATGTCGCGATGCTACACTCCCACCATTTTGTAGGTATGTGAGAAAGCCTCTCTGCACTTACTCTCATCCTCTTTCCCTGATCACACCTGTCGTGAACCTTTTGCGCTTAATCCAGCTTTTGCCCATTTGGTGCCTTCCAGCCATGCTGGCTGAGGCTGATGCTAGTTGTAGTCCAAAACATTGAGAAGGCACCAGGCTGGCGAAGGCTAATCAATCAAATGTTAATCTTTTCCCTCTGATACTCTGTAGATTGCAATTTCCATTTTTTCTCCTTAAAAGAAGCAACATCACAATACAGCCTCATTTATCCCAACAGATCATGGAACGCTGGACATATGTGAATAGTTTAGAGCCTTTGCATGGCTATGATGGTGTATGAGGACAAAAGATTCATTCATATAGTAGAGACTCCTCTATAATTGCATTAGTCCAGAACGGTCTTTTTTGTTGCTTTCTGTTGTTTTTTGGCTGAGGAGAGACCCAAGAGTGATATGGCAGAGAAGCTGTTGTGGGGTGGGGGTCTGAAATGTAATGGCAAGGTTGGGAGAGGGTCAAGGGAGGTTGCTGCAGCAGGTGTGATAAGGGTGGGTTAGGACTGAAATGAGCAGAAATATGGGTGCCTTTACTTGGATCTGGCTAATGGAATTGCAGGGAACCAACAAAGCTTCAAGAGGCCTCCAGGGAGTATTAGAGCAGTTGAGGTATAGATAATGCTGTGTCTAGAAGAAATCAGATAGCACAATATGCTGGCTCTGTGGAGGAGAGACATCGATACCAGCACCAGCACCTACAGAACAAGATGACTTCCTCTGTTTCTGGACCCTATCCCTCATGAAAACTCCTGTCTCCCACATCAAATCCAATCATCACCACAGGTAGGCATTATTAAAGGGCAGAACCCAACAAAAAGTTTGCTTACCTTACAGAAATTTACAGAAGAGGAAAGGCGAGAGAGACAGGCAGGTGAGAAGAAGGATTGGAGGAGGGATGGAGAGAAAGAGAGAAGGAGGAGGAGGAAAAAATAAAGAAGTGTTGAGACAGAAAGCAAGGCCTCTGGGGCAGAGACCCCATCTGACATCAAGGGGAAGTGAAGCAGCAGCACCAGCACCACAAAAGCAGCACTACAGAGGACTTTGCTCACACACACACAGGGAGGAAATGGTCCATACAGTCACCACACTAATGGAAGGATGGTAGCCCATGGAATCACTACAGTCAGAAAAGGGACTCGACAATATGTTACATCATTTTTTTCCTTCACAAGCAACTTGGTGACCCCATGACTGTCTCTTGTTTTTTTCCTTAAAACATACAGTCCCTATTCATGTCTCCCATCTAATCCCAAACTCTTCACATCACAAAGACTTTTCTTCTGTCTTTCATCCATGTTTATTTGGGACCCACACAGAGCATGAAGTTTTCAGTCTATCTTGGTGAACTCAACATGCCATATGTGGGTCACAATGAAATGTGCAGCTATAAATGTAGCGTTGCCTAGCTTCCTCGATGGCCTCAAAGAGAATTTTATGACCATTTACTGACACCAGATTCTACGGACTAGTTCTACTCTTTAGCAATGTCCCACAACTACGTTTACTGTATTAAAATGTGGAAGCCTCTCTGCAGCCCTTTGGACTAAAGAGTGGCCTATATTATAGTAATACAGTGGTATCTCAGGTTAAGAACTTAATTCGTTCTGGAGGTCCGTTCTTAACCTGAAACTGTTCTTAACCTGAAGCACCACTTTAGCTAATGTGGCCTCCCGCCGCTGCTGCGTGATTTCTGTTCTCATCCTGAAGCAAAGTTCTTAACCTGAGTCTGTAACCTGAAGTGTCAATAACCTGAAGCGTCTGTAACCCGAGGTACCACTGTAATTAGTTTGGAAAAATGCAGCTCTAGTACAAATGAAGTCCCATGAATGTGGCAATGCCATAGAATTCTATGACAGAATCCCGACAAAAGCCACAGAATGTGAAACAGCTACAACCGCAAAATGCCACTACCCATCCCTTTAACTCACCTCCTCAGTTCTACTATACTGCTAACTTCACGTGCCAATTCTCACATCAAGCCAAAGCAACTTTTGAAACTAGATTAATGTAAATTAAGCACACATGGAAGATGTCCTTCCTTTACAGAGAGCATTGTTGACACAGAATTGGGAGCCTATTAGCTGTTATGCAATGTTCACATGGATCTAGTTGGAATAGATGTCATTACCTTTGAGCTGCTCAAATGGAGTCTCCATGAGAGATATGGTGGTTTTTCCCAGCACTTGGTATGTTCTTGATCAGGAGCAGCTAATGCTGTCCCCCCAGATACTGTTGGACTGCAGCTCCCATCCTCACTGACTGCTGGCCATGCTGGCTGGAGTGGATGGGAGCTTGGGAGTCCAACATCAAGAAGGCCACAGGTTAGCCATCCTGGTTCTAAATTATGGGTTTCAGTACAAGCAATGTTGTGAATTGTGTGTCTCATATTAATAGGCAGTTAAGGCTGATTATTAGTGGACTTAGCAGTTCATAATTTATCAATGGATGTAGAAAATGTTGACTGCCTTCAGCAATGCTTTCAATATCTGAGAGTCTATAATTAAAATGTAATTTGTGGTTTATTAATGCCTAGTGATTCAGAGCACAACAAAGCTTTGTTCCTCAATCTTTTTATAGCTTTTCTGGAGTGAAGAGCTATGAATAGTTTTGCACCTACACACACACACACACACACACACACACACGACCTGCCTATTAAGCTTTTTGTTCAACCAATGAGAATCAAAACTATGAAGTTGCAACCTCGCAGCATACTTGGAAAATCTGAAAGGAAGCCTTCTTTGTCCTATTTGAAATAGGGAAACTCTTACTTCAACCCCCTGATGCTATTAGCAGCTGCACCAGTAAATTAATATTTAGAAGGGAGTGTAAGCAATTACTATGGCAGAGCAGTGTCACACTGTTGTACTGGGGACTGTGCCAACATCATAGCACGGATAGGCACTAGCAATATCCACCATGGCTAGATGTGGTAGAGGGCTATTGCAAAGGGATCTTGTACTGGATGAGAAAGGGGAAAGGAAAGGATCAGGAACCATTTACCTCTCTGGCTTCCTAAAAGGCATTCTAGCCACTGTGTTATGCCTAGTATTTGGCAGTGGATTGCAATGGATTGCAAGTGACAGAAGGCAGCATAAGCCGGGCAGACTTGTCCTCATGGCCAAAGTGCATAATGCAACCAGAGTGGCACAACTCTCTCTCTCTGCTCTGGTAGTCACATGTATTTGTAGATTCAGGATGCTCAAACCAGTAGTCCATGCAGATGTGCATGGCAAATAGCTTTGTGTCAGAAACTTCTATTGTTTGTAGACAGAAAGTAGTTCTTTTCAGAGAATGAAAGGCAGTTTGAAGGAGGCATTGTTGCCCATGGTACGTACACTCATCCCACTACCAGTCCTGTTCTCAGGCATACAGGTTTTTGCACTGCTTCTATAGTCTGCAAAATCTGTTTGACCAGACATATCATGAAGATCTATGCCTCTAATCATATCACGTTCAGTGCTAAAAGCAATTGCCTGCTGCCTGCCTCTTTTTTACAATAGCCTTTTGAATTTAACTCTTAGCACAAGCTATTAAATTGGAGGAAGGAATGGAATTGGGGACCACTGAGATTAATGGATGAACTATATGTTCCCACAGTGTAACACACACTGTGTGAGGAATATGAATTCCATTAGTTTAATGAGCATATCTGCTTGTAGGTAGCAGCGATAGGCCCCAGCTTTGCCATGTGATATGCTACATGTATCATACAGGTAAACCACAGTACTTCTTTGTGTACACAAATTCTGCAGCATGTAAAATGACCTCTAGGTAAGTATCAAGCATAGGGCTGTCATACATCCAGAATTTCCCAGACATCACTGGGAATTGGCCATTGGAAACAGTTTCTGGGTAGAAATCACTGAAATGTCTGGGGAAATCTGAATGTATGGCAACCCATGTCGGCGGTATTGTTTTTGGCAATTTTCCTTAGAA